TATAGGGAGACCTTGGAGGAATTCCTCGGTGGGGCGCCGAGGAGACTTCAGCGAGAAGCTCTTGAAGTATCCATTCTAGATTTCCTGTGTGAGGTAGACTTTGAGCCACTTAGCCTTCAGCGACCTTGGCGAAGGTATCGAGTCAGAGCCGATCAGTATATATATAATATATGGCGCTTGCCGCGAGCGACCTCTGTGTTCAACAGGAGTGAGTGAGTGAGTGTTTTGTTTCGCCGCGACTCAGCAATATGTGGAAGTCGGTGAAGCGCTACTCCTCGCGTGGCGTCCTTGTAACTGGTGAGGCTCTAGCTCGCTTCTTGGAGGTGGCCTGGGACTTCCTTAGCGAAGTGTCTAGAATCCGATCAATATATGAGCATTAGCTTCATACAGGGTGTGGTTCTTGCTGGTTCTGCATAAGTAGAGGCCGGAGAGTAGATCATCCTATCATCTTCAGAAGTCGTGTCACGAGAAATCTGGTGATAAAAAATCTCATTGATCATTCTAGATCTATTAATGCCAAGAACATGCGCCTCTGGCGTTTGAACTGTTATGGCTTTATGGTAGGCTGTGTCCATACCTGTGGCAACGCAGCAATCGAGTCGATCGGAGGTAAGGTGATGGCGTCTGCCTAGTCTTCCTTTATCAGGTATGTCTCGTGCCGAAGTTGCCACTCTTGGAAGGTGAAGAGATCTAGGTTGTTTACCATCCAATATAATTATCTCAGCGTCTGAAAATGATGCCTCCATCATTTTCTATCCCAGCATCGCTGATGAGATGTTGATGCTCTTCTGATGGTGGACTGTGTATTTCTATCTCTATGTCGGGTGGACGCCGGGGAGACCTGACTGTAGACTTGTGTGCAGACTTGTGTGGTGACCTGTGAGACGCGATCGGCGTGGTGATGTGCTTAATGAGATCGGGCGCTGTTAGCGGCGCAGAGATCGTGTTGGTGATCTCGTCTATGGGTTGACCTTCTCGGAGACCTGTGAGGAGAATGTTGATATAGCTTCGCTGGCTCTTGTGTAGTCAGGTGTCCTTCGCGAAGGCCCTGGCGAAACTTCCTCTGCTTCGGTCCTGAGGGAAGCGGCGATTTGACTACCAGCGAAGGCTACCGCGGAGGTCTGATGGTCTGAGTCCGCATCTAAGGATGAAGCGAGGAAGGTGATGATCTATCCCGCCTTCGCGAAGGCCATGAAAGGCTGTACATCTGGGTCCTTCGTGGAGGTGGTCTCATGACTTCCCTTCGAAGGTGGCTTCGTCGTGTGGCTGTTGCACGCTGATGGGGTGCCTCTGGGGTGTCGTCTGCGTTGGAACCTTCAGCGAAGGCTCCAGGCCTTGGGCTGGCTGCTTCCCAGTCTGTAGTGGCCTCCATCATGATCATGATTTGCCGCAACAGTTCATCTGGGATGGTCTGGCGACGAATTAGTCGGTGCCCTCTCTGCGATGTTAGCGGCGGGGCCCTCAGGAAGTCGATCTGAGCGTCAGTGTAGAGACCTCAGGCTGCATGGCGATCTCTGTTGATGTCACTGTAGCTGTCTCCGGTCAGCTTCTTTGGCGCGACGTCGGGGATGATGATGATCGGCTGATCATCGCAGAGGCCCAGTTCAGCGGCTGGAACAATCTCGGTTGAGAAAGTCGCAGTAGACTTCGTTGATTTCCCCTCAGAGGTCGGCGGCGCTGCCCTGGGGGTGCAAAGTCCGCGTTGAGTGTTGGTAGCGGCGGGACCCTCAGGAAGATCATAGAATATCAGCGTTGGTACATCAGGCTGCATGTTGATCTGCGCTGACATCACTGTTATCGAACATCGGTCATTCTTTTGATGTACATCAGGTATGATGATCGGCTGATCATCATACAGGCCAAATCTCGCGACGGGGAACAATCTCGGCCGAGAAAGTTCAAGCGAGACTTCGTTGATTTCCCCTCAGAGGGCGTTGAGATGCAGTAGAAACCCTCTAGTCTTCGGTTGCACGATGGGATGTCTGGGGAAGCAGGACGCTTCTTGGCGGCGGACTACGTCCACGCTCTCTACCACTCTAAGAAGGAACACCAGGCGGAGGGGGGTCAACCAACAGCAGTAGACTGGCGAGGGTTCAGGTGTATCAGTCATGGCTAGAGCTCTCTGCATCGCAGCGACCTATCTGCTGCGGCGTCTCAAACGCGAAAGTAATTATTTATTAAAGGTAGAATTGGATAAATTAGTATCGCGAACTGCAACGTGAATCACATGAAACATGGCAGTACAGCTAGAGGGCATATTAAATGGATCAGCAGCAGAATAAAAACGTAATGTGCAACAGTACAGAATTTTATCAACGTAATCCACTGCAACAACCACGGCCCGTGCATAAACAGTAGAAACACGACTAAATATCAATATATAATTGTTGAAAGATACTAGCTAAACCTCTATAGATCTCTATACGAAGTAACTAACTAAATATAATCAAAGGATATAGTGTGTCGGGAGACACAGGCGCTCTCACGTCCAGCTCACTGGGCGAAGAAGGAGAGAGTGAGGCACATGGGTAGAGGTGGCGCCCTCGTTCCCGCGCTTGTGGAAGGGAGGTAACTCGTAGTGTGCTAATTAGTGATTTTACATTGAAGGGAACTTCAATTAGGGAGATACAAGTGTTCCACTATGTTCGCAAGAGGAAGGAGACAAGCAAAAAGAGCATGAGTCAGGATAAGGAAAAATGTTTTGTTTTCGATTCGTATTCTCCTTTAAACAATGTTAATCATGAGAATACTATCAATTTCCATTCAGTAACATCAATCCTTTTTGAAGGTAAGGTATCACAAATAAATTTCAAATGATTAAATTTTGTGCAAGTTCAACAATCAATTTTGATTTTTTTTTTAAAATATAATCTACCAATGCCAAACTCTGATGGAATATAGACTTGCGTGAGAATCATACAACCATTACAGGTAATGTTTTGTTACCACTCATCTCCTCTACGTTTATACTGATGACTTGTTCATGCAATCAAACAGTAAATGAAAAACTTAGTGAGATTTTTTTTTTGAAAATCTGAAGCAACAACTCATTTGGTTTTTGAACATCTATTAATCCACAGTATACATGAAACCAGGTTAGACAAAACCAGCAAAAATCCCAGGTTACAACAGGTAAACCTTGCCTAGTGTTACTTGAAGAGTTACAGCCAACCTGCTACCCTTACACACAGAAACCATATCCGAATATAATGTGTCAAGCTATCAGTGTACTCAGGTCAAACTCTTTGTTCAGATCAAACAGAGCAATACAAATAATGAAACAATCCAACAACAAGCAGCGAACAAGAAGCCAACTTGGATCACATCTAGGTTACAAACCCTCACTGGACGAGCTGTGTAGATGGCCAAATGGCTGATTCTTGAGCTGAACTTTACGATGAATGCCCGTGAACTCGTACCTATATGTGTCCAACAGAAAAATTTACATCAACACGCAGAGCAAAGAAAGAAGCCGTGCAAGATGGCAGACTTGAATCTAAAGTGTATCATCAGGGTCTAGCCTTCTTTCCACAGTTCATTTTTCTCAACTGCTAAGAAGGTTCTTCATTCTTCTGAGTCTATATTTTTCCTACTCTTGTCTAAAATTGACAATAAATCATTCAAAATATCAAATGTCCCATCACCCCAAAAATGTCTTATTCTAACTGACAAATCAAGACATACCTGGGAATACCCTGGAATATTCCCGTTTCTATTCTAACAGTGTTGTCACTATCCAATTTATCCAAAGAATGCATTTATTTTAAAGTATCAGGATCAACAGAGTTACTCTGAAAAATATACCAGATCAAAATATGAAAGTTCTATCCTTATTGACCTAACACCAATCTGACTACCAAATCCCGACTACCTAATAATGACGTATCCTTCGACTCAGTGAAATGCCGATATTTTGTCAATGAAGCTGAAATATACTTAATCATTCAATATAGTTTCATCTCAATTCAAAGTCTTTCAACATGTTAAACTATGTTTATGTTCAACCAGCTTATTACTCTTTTGACTATATTTCTCTTTTTGCAAGTAAACCTTCAGAGTCCATTTCATTACTGTCAAGAAATAACTTCTGTGGTCTAAGTTGTTTTGCAGTCACCTCTGCTGAACACGCTGCTAATGTTAACTCAGATGATACAAACAATATATCAAGTTTACCACCTTGCAATGGACAGAACGGAACACAGAACAGTGAACAACAAGTACCAGGATTCCATGACTGTCCAGTTGAAACCTGCAATGCTGCTGGATCACCAGATGATTTCTCATATATGTCTAAAGGATAATCTAGAGAAAAGAAATATCAGTTAGAAATCTTGAACCTAGAAGAGATAAGAAACTTGGATTAGATATACTGCTTTAGAAGCTCAAAGTTATGTGGACATTTGTTATGAGGGCTTTTGTTAGTTATTAAGTTCTTAAGCTGTAGCAATGCAAGGGATTTGGGGGACATTTTGAATTTATGGAATTGACGAAATAAGACAGCTATAATAATCCCATACTAATACATAGGATGGTCCTATAAGGGTGTTTGCAGGAAACACAAGAATGTTCATTTAACTACCAGCATTGGGGTTGGGATACAAAATTATTTAAGGCAAGACAATATTTATTCTATAGTTTTTAAGTGCACTAATAACGAGCTAAATGGATATGCTTAAACCTACCCTAAATCTTATGTTTGTAATCACCAGACATAAATATGTAGTTTAGAAGGGCTTCCAGCTGTCCAGTGTACACATTATATAACCAAATGTGCTTAGTAAGCTACAGTCAACCATATTCTGCCTGTTTGATTGATTATATATATACACACTGTACAACAAAAACCTGGTCCCCTTGGCTCGGGCAGACTACACATGCTTCACAAAAGGCGTTCTATTGACCATGCACTGCTAGCAATTCGGCCAAAGTCCCCACACAAAACAACACAGAGCGTCAACAGCATGGAGTCTGGATTACAAATCTGAAGACCATTTACACACCCTCTTCACTGGAAGACTTCTTAGGGCAACCCTGAGGCTGGTATTTGATCTGCACTTTGCGATTTATTCCAGAAAAGTGTCCATACCTGAAACATTATGTGACCAACACACATTAGTGGGCAAATTAAAATCAATATCTTGATGAAATCACATTCTCCATCATGATGTCACTGGAACAATAGATTGACCTGTTAATCCCCTTTGGTGTGTATAACCACACAATTACATGCCGCAGTGTGGACAAAGAAATGGGACAATAGTCAATTTAATAATCACATTTACATGCGGCAAATGAATGTGGACAAACAGTAAAACAATAAGTAACAGTATTACCAGAATTACATACAACAAATCAAATGTGGACAAAACAGAGAACAGTAAGAAATTGTAACTTGGGGGATAATTTTGAAGGGCTGTTCAAAAGGGAATGAGAAAATAACTGACAAGAGACGTTTCAATATGAGTAGAATTACCAAGTATTCAAGTCAGACAATCAATTTATTTGAATGCATCGATAAAGGTTCATGCCATCTGGGCAGCCATGTTAATCAGCCACGCCATACATTTTAACAGCCTCTTAATCAGTCCTTACAACAAGGGGCCGCGGGGTAGCCTAGTGGTTAAAGCGTTGGCTCGTCACGCCGAAGACCCGGGTTCGATTCCCCACATGGGCACAATGTGTTAAGCCCATTTCTGGTGTCCCCCGCCGTGATATTGCTGGAATATTGCTAAAAGCGGCGTTAAACTAAACTCAGTCAGTCAGTCAGTCCTTACAACAAGCATAAGCTACTGGTGACCTAATCTGCACAGGAATGCCAGATATAATTCTACCCATATTTTTTCAAAATCAAACTGAAACACAAAGAACAGATTAGTTATCTCGCTGGAGACAAATGCTATTAGGACATTTTCTTCATCAGAGCAAATATTGATCAGACACTGTATCATAATAGACAATCGCCAAAACAGCAAAATGTCTTTAAGACATTTTAAAAATTCATTTATTCCATGTCACTAGGATCAGTCATAGTAAGAATATTATTCAATCAAATACACTGAATTTTTCCAATGTGAGCAAAAAGATCAAGTGTAACTTGTATATATGATGAAAAACAATGCTTCTGTATTTTTTCAAAGCAAGGAATTCTCAGATTTTTCCCCAGGAAATTGGAATTAGTCTGTCAGCATTTATGCCATTTCCAGAAAATGGCTTTGTGAAATAAACTACAGAAATTCTGATGTTTCATTCACACACTTATGAAATCAGTTTAATGTTTAAGTGACAAGGATCTCATCCAATGGAAAAGCTGAATATTGTGTAAATTTCATGTTAAAACATTCTTATTAACAAATCAATCAGGGAGTCAGGAAATAAAAAAATTCAATTAAAATAAATAAAAATAAATCAAACAGTTAGAGATTGTTTAACAACCTTTACATTTCTTTACTGTAAGTACCCGATCCAATCTAATATTGTTAATAATTTTTTGAAAGCTGATATGACAAGACACATTAAACCCAAAGACTGGAATTCAGTGGTTTCAATTCTAAACAGACATACAGAATCACACACATTGACAGATAAGACCTACATTTCCAACACAAGTTTTAGCTGCTGTAGCTTGGCCTTCTTCTCCTCCACTTCTGGATCCACTTTGTACTGACTCTCACTCAGCAGGTGGCGGACAATGTCAAGCACTTCCTGAAGCTGCTTCGGTTTCTTGAGCTTCAGGTGAGCCTTCTTCAGCCCTCCATACTTTTCAAACAATTCAAAGAACCTGGAAGAATCCGACAAATGACCAATGACCTAGATTCTTTATTGTCCAGTGTAATGAAAATCAAAGTGTCCATGTCATGACCTTAATTATGCCAAATGATGTTCAGGGAATGTTTAATACAAGAACATACATATACTAACCAATTATGTTATCTTCAAATTCAAACGTTCATAAATAAAAATGAAATTTTCACATTACTTGTTATCACAGAGCTGTCATAAAAAACCTCTTGTAGTCTTGTTCTGTAATGGTTGGCAATTCATTAATACTTAGGTTTAGAAATATATACACACTTTTTATGTTTCACTTCCATCTTCATTTTCTGTTTGGGTGTCCGGTCGCCATGACGAATAATAGCACTTACACATCGCAGCTCCATCCTAATTTCAATGCAAATATAATTTCAATGAAGATATATTGATGTTCCATCCAAAACTAAAACGTCTTTGCAGTTTAAGAACATACTGAAAGATTATCATGTAACAGAAAGCCCAATATAATTAACATTGATTAGTGCTGTTCTGATGATGAACAGTAATAGAGGTAAAACATATTAATCAACCAGTCATTAAATCTATCTGTGCATAATTTCCCACCCTATACTACTACCATATACTTTAATGTACTGGAATTCCAATTTTTTTCATATCTGCTTACAACTGGGGCATCTTCAGTGTCATAAGCGAAAAAGTCAACAATATGGCATTCAATCTAATAAAGTTCAAAAACAGGAATAGTTCTAAATGAGTATGAAAGATTCTTAACAGGGCGGAGTCATACTTCTTGAATGAACTTCAGCTACAATCTAACTGCCATCTCTGCTACCAGCTACTTACATGGGTCCTTGTGTCGTAGGAACCACTGGTATATCTTCAGGCCCAGCCCCTAACACCCATGGAAGCTGAAGCTGAGGGGCTAAGGCTCTCATGATCATTGTTCTGTGAGAAAAAAATTAATTTTTCAAGTAAAATTGATATTTTATACTTATCCTGACTCATGATCTTTTGCTTATCTCCCTTTCCTAGTGGAACACTTGAATCCTTTGAAGTTCCCGAAGTGGACGTAAAAATACACTCACCCATGAGTTACCTCCCTTTTTCCACGTAAACAGTCATGTGACCAGCCTTACTTGTCACTCTCTCCCTTTTCACCCAAGCGGATGGTTGGGGGCGAAGAAACGATCGGCTACAACAGAGTTGACACCGGCTCTAAGTAAGAAGAAGACTTAGTCTTCATCTACGTCGCAGAGGAGAGCATCTGCAGCCAGATTGGAGGCTAATCTACGCGGCCTAGTAAGTCAAAGCATCAGAAATCCTTCAACGAAGAGATTATACCTCCTCATGAAGTAGATGTATTTGATGAACCTCAGTTACTTCTACCTGAAGTACTTATTAGATCGGCACCTCAATCAACTTCCACGACTACTAAATTGTCTCCTGCAACTGCTACAGCAGGCCAGCTGTTTGACGACCAACCACCAACTTCTCAACGGAGTGAAGTTGAGGCACACAACTCATCAGCGTTCCCGAACACTTTATCTACATCGCAGCAGCTTCAATCAACGCAGAACTTTGATCCAGGTGAATTCAGGATCAGGTCCGAAGCTTCATAGTGACCTCTTTGATGTGCTGATACGGACTGAACAAAACAGGTAGCCCTCATGTGTGATATTGCAGAGATGTTCTTGCAGATCAAAATATCACTAGAAGATAGACCATACCACAGATTTCTCTGGAGATCTATGAATACAGATTCACCTCCTGAGGTGTATGAGTTCAGTCGTGTTGTATTTGGAAACACCTCTTCTCCTTTCCTGGCTCAGTTTGTAACCCAGGAACATGCTAAGACACATTCTGTAGACCTTCCTCTGGCTGCAGAAACTGTCATGAAATCCACCTATATGGATGACAGCATGGACTCAGTAGAGAATGCCGTTGAAGGCATAGAACTGTACAACCAGTTAACTCAGTTATGGTCTAGTGCTTCAATGCATGCTCGAAAATGGTTGTCCAATTCACTTAACTCCTAGATAACATATCTGAAGCAGATAGAGCTTCTGAAATTGATCTTTCTAAGGGTCATTTACCTTTGGTAAAAGCCCTCGGGCTAATGTGGATTGCTGAAAAAGATATTTTCACATTCAAAGCGGGAACGTCTATTCAACAAGAATCCACCAAAAGAGGTTTTCTTAGGCAAATTGCAAGACTGTTTGATCCGCTAGGATTGGATTCTGTGGATTGTGTGACATTGGATTCTGTGGAGACATTAGATTCCCTGGATTCTGTGACTTTGGATTATGTGACATCAAGATTGACACTGAACTGTGAACTGTGAGTATTGAATATTGACTGTGAACTGTTATTTGAACTGTTTGTGACATTATATAACTTGTTATGAACATTGTGGGATATTCGAGGATTAATGGACTTTCAGCTTGTAAGTATGAAAAGTATTTAATTTCAGTTTATTGCAGATGCTAGAGGTGTTAGCATTGTATTAGTATTGATTGAATTGTTTGTATTGTGTTGACAGGAGTCTTGTCAAGGAGAAGGGTATGGACAGAAGGAAATAGATGTTTTCGTTTTTAGCTTGGGTCAGCGTGCCCAAATACACCGGTCGCTATGCGTATATGCAAAATCTCGTGCATTTTATGGTCATAGCTGATGACAAGGTTAATCAGTTTAACATCGGCAGTTAGTTAGACACATTGCTGAGGGACAGGGTCGTCCATATCAAGCTCCAGCTAGGAGTTACAAATAACTTATTAGATTGCTTCCATTATCGGGAAGACATTTACACAGATACATAGAAGCTTAGTTAACATTCACACTTTTGGTGAATGTACAGTGCAGGGATTTTTCATTGGGTTTACTTTTTTGTTTTGGTTTTGGTGTATTAAATGTTCAGACATAATTATTTTGACTTTTCGTTTATTTTATAAATGGGGAATATGAACTGCCTCATTCCCAATGACAATATCGTTCTGGATGAGAGCCGTCATATTGAGAGCCTATAAGCAGCAGGACTAGAACCTCCTAGAGCTCCCAACCCACAGGAAGTCAGAGCACTGGCATCAACATTGGCTCTGCATGGAAATTGCTCTATATCAGCAATTATGGAGGGCTGCTTTTGGAAGTCGGATACGGTGTTTGCTAACCACTACCTCCGAGACATAGCCACCGGAGACGTCTCAGGCATTCGCTATTTTGGGCCTCTCGTTGTAGCACAGCAACTAATGGTTCCACAAAGGCGTTGAGTTGGAAAAACACACCCTTTATCATGTTGACTTGTTGATAACATTTACTAAGGAAAAGTATTAGTTTGAAAGTCCATGCGCACAGTCTAGGACAGACTAGCATAAGTGATTAAAGACCCTGTATGACTAAAGATCTTACCTGTACATTAAGGGGTCGCAACTCATCTATGATAAAGATCTTATCATAATCTATGGGTTGTTATAGGTATCTACTAATAATAAGATACTAGTATATCTGAAGCCACATGAATCAAGATGATTCAACTTGTCTGAGATTGAAGTAAGACAAGAAAGTGGTCCCCCCGAGTTATAACGGAAATTGGAAGAATAGGATCTCGGAAATGCCGTTACGCAGTTCCCATCGGGGTGATACAGGACGTATCTAAGGACAGCTGATGAATCCAGGAAGTGGCCTGACCCACCACCAATCTGTAGGATTCTATAAGCAAATGATCATGAGTCAGGATAAGAAAAAATATGTAATGTTTCAAGTAAAATTGATATTTTATACTTATCCTGATTCATCAGGACAAGCCCTCCCAACCTCCCCGCTGGAAACACTTCAGATTTCACAGTAGATCCAAGTGCATGGGCAGAAAAATCAGGAGAAAGTGACAAGTAAGGCTGGTCACATGACTGTTTACGTGGAAAAAGGGAGGTAACTCATTGGTGAGTGTATTTTTACGTCCGCTTCAGGAACTTCAAAGGATTCAAGTGTTCCACTACCATTCGCATAGGAAAGGGAGATAAGTCAGGACTATAGCTTGGCCAATCTAATAAAGTCAGATTTTGGGTTCAAAACCAGGCCTGTGAATGCTTTGAACGATGGTTTGGGTCGTTGTCCTGCTGGAAAATCAAAAAATTTCCATAGAACACATGAGCAGATGGAAGTAAATGTCCCTCGAGAATATCTGTGTACCGCTCTGATGTCTTTGTTATAATACTCTAAAATAAACTTTCTCTTCTCTAAATCATCCATACTGAGGATCACTGAAAATGTCGTCTGATTGGAAGTAAACAAAGGAGGATAACTCTTCACAAACTAATAAAAAAGAGAGTTGTCTCTCTTGAATGAAACCAAGCACTTGATAGCTGGACAAGGTTGTTTATACTAGAAATCCAATTAAACATATTCCTAAATTTCTCAATAATTTCTGGTCATACTATATGTCTGTTAGTTTAGGTAGAAGGCAACCAGTTTGAGACTCAACATGCTCAAGTGACAGAAGAAATTGTCATCTGCAAAAACCATGAGCAATACTACTGACTGAGCCTTAGAGAGCTCCACATTACCTAAGGAGGGTATCAAAATCTGCAGCAAAGAAGTGTTGCTGAGGTTAAATACATTTTGAGACCTTCAAATATGAGACTTCAAAACACACAGTATTCACTTTACGATGCGATTCTGGATGATCATTATTTTGCACTGTCAGATGAATGCTGCAAAAATAAAGGGACATGCTTCAGGCTATGTTTGTTTCTTTGTTAACGCCACTCTTGGCAATATTCCAGTAATATGGCAGCGGTTTGGACATAATCGGGTTTAGACCAGACAATACAGTGATCAACAGCATGAGCAGTTGGGATACGATGACATGTGTCAAACAGGTCAGCAAGTCTGACCACCTGATCATGTTAGTTGCCTCTTACGACAAGCATGGGTTGCTGAAGACCAATTTCAACCCGGATCTTCACGGACTAGGCTATGTAGCACTGTACTTCATATATATAAAAACAAATGAAGACTCGTTTATATATAAAGCAAAAAAAGATAAACTATTCAACAACTGTAACGGCAGTCACTAAATAACTTACCCAAGTATTTTGGCACAGTCATCATAGTATTTACTGGAAGTCTTCACAAAGCTAAACCCATTTACATCACACACATAGGACTGGCCACTAGCTCTCAGCAGATCAAATCCACATACATTTTGCTGAAAGGATAAAATAAACATCGTGAAACATCTGTTAATGAGCACTATATAAAGGATGTAGTAAGCATTTCATTCAAAGCCGGCCGCCTCTGTGGTGTAGGGGTTAGAGCGTCTGCCTGGGGAGCGAAAGGTTGCGGGTTTGATCCCAGGCGACGTCATACTAAATGACGTTAAAATATGGTCCCTGCCTGGCGCTTGGCATTAATGGGTACAACAAGGACTGGTCCGCTCGGAGTCGGTATAATGTGTCTGAGTGGGGTATTCATGCTTAACTGCAGCATGGTATTTCAGTGGGCTAGCACTATAAAACCAGCTGAAGTCTGGGCTAGTACAAGCAGCCACACATACACACGCATGCACGTCATCATATGAGCAAAATATTCTTAAGTGCGACGATAAAGCCCATTTCACCTCACCTCAATCAGAGCCTATATTTATTCTAATGGCTAAAGTGAGAATTTACTATCATGATATTTCATGTTTTGTACAGAATGATCAAAGATCATTAAAGAAGCATTGTTCTTTTGGAAAGATAAAACTAGCTTCCTCACTTCAAAATACAACTGCCATTGTTCTCATTTCAGTCTTTGTTTTAAAATATTCTTACCTTGAAAGCAAGACAAACTTTCTTGGCAATCATCTTCTCTTTGGCACTAAGAATAACAGGATATCTGATCTCCTTCCCATCCATGTCCCGCTCCACCTTCCCATCCAGTGCTGGGGATTTCCTGGCCTCTGCATGGGCATAGTCAGGACCCACTGTGTACACCTGGATAATAACAAGCTTATAGTCATTGACTGCTCTTGTAACTGGACACTTTAATATAATACTGTTAAAGGTCACATAAACCCTAGGGGGTACAAATACATAAATCACTAACTGGCATCGTTATAAATGAAACCCCGTCATTAAAACTACTCATTTCGACCTTTAATTGACTTAAATCGACCTTTTGACAACAGTGCACAATTCTCACCCGCGAACGAAATTTCAACCAATCAGAGCGGCGCGTCTCTGTGACGTCATATGAGGAATAGCTTTGAGGGCCGATGCAGAATTCATCTACATTTTAGGGGTTAAATTATCTTGTTTACAGGCTTGTATAAACCTGAAATCGTGACAATTGTTGTGGAAAATGAAAGCTATATGTTCTCACAATCTACTGTCATTGAATTTTGTCTCCTGCTTTGCCTAGTTTCCGAAAGTAACAACTTGTTTTCATAGACGATTCTGTCAAAATCGATTGGTGTCGTTAGGGTCCTATTTGTATAATGACTGATCCAAATTGATCCCATTTCTGTGTTTTTACTTCGATATTTAATCATGTCATGTAAAATCTGTTTGTATTCTCAAAACAGTGTCGGCCCATAAGTTTTCACATGCAATACAGCAATTAATACTCCCTTGTTGAAACCCGTGTTAGGTGGTATAAACCTACACATGTTATTTGTCATCATTCACTTGATGGTCAGTTAATGAATTTATAACAGATATAATTAGTGGTAACACACTTAGATTACCCGACAAAGGTTCCCATTTGGCATTTCTTATGTCTGGAGTAAATATTCAACATTATAAACATCGATCAAAGGATTAACCGATAACACGCTGATTGATTAATTACTTTTATCTAAACAGCGGAATTGTCAAAAGGTAGTGTTTATGTATGTAGATTTACTAATCTATACTGAATACACTCTGTCGTCGGTCGGGTGTCTGCGTAAAAACAACGCCCTTCTTTCAAAGGATTAACCGGCAATACATTGATTGATTGCCCATTATTGGCTAACTAAATTACTGTTTTTAAAGAAAGGCGGACATTATGCAATTAGTTGCCAGGTGTGCTATGTTGGGTGACCAATGAGACTATACACCAATACCTGAAAAGATTTATCACTTTTTCGTATATTAAACTGTTAAAAGACACATCATTTGGAACAGTTTTGTGGATATTGATGGATACATTCCTCGAACAAGGTAATGGCCTGATATTGTTCCTATAACTTTAATCTGTTGTAATTTTAATATTTGCATTTTGTTTTTATTCATTTGTCGTAGCATTCAACAGAATCATTGTTTTCGCCGTGAAGTGTAATGAGACAGACAACATGCACTAGGGTGTGTGTGCGAATTATGATTCACATTGGCAAACTTTAAAATGTCTAGATATTACAGTTCTGTTATAAATTCACTATAAGTATCAGCAGATCGTCTGCTTTTTATTTAGTTTCAAAATGCATACAAGTATGATAATAAACTAATTAGGATTATAAGACCAAATATAAAGACGCACATTGACTGACTAGTATCTACATACTGGTGAGTGGACATTAACCATGTGAATGTAGCAAGAAATTTATCGCGCAGTATTGTGACTTCGACCCCCACCTCGCTTCCGTGGAAGAAATCGTTATGTTATAAGTTATGTCATGCAAAATCCATTTGGTTATGATTTCAATACATATTTAACTACGAGTAGAAAGTAGTCTTGATTTTCGAACTTGATGAAAACAAACTATAATCTCATTAATTCTAACAGATTTTTTTATTTTCAAAAATGGCGGCGCCCTGTAGCGAACATCCGCCAGTCTGAGGATAAATGGTATTTAGGTTTGTTTTCTCCGAAAGTTAAAATCAAAACTACTTTCTATAAATAGTAATAAAATATGTATTTTTTGATGGCCAATAGGATTTTGCATGACATAGCGATAACATAACAAATTCTCTCCTGGCAGCAGGTGGGTGTCATATAATACTACTTACAATATTATTGTTACTTGACCACAACCTCACTTCCGAGGAAGAAATCGTTATGTTACAAGTTGTGTCATGGAAAATCTTTATGGTCATCAATCATATACATATTTTACTACAACTAGTAAGTAGTTTTGATTCTTTAACTTCATTGAAGCGATCTGAACACAAGTAAGATATCGTTTCAGGCTTCCTAACGCCACTTCTCGCGACTCACAAACATAACCCATTTAGCTTACGAACCGCGGGTCCTGTGGAAATCTGTGCATGGTGACACCATCGCCCGACCCCTAGGAGCAATTGACGACAAAGCAACGATTCGGGCATATTGTCGTTGATGTCGAGAAATCATCAAAATGATGAGCGTGCTACACACTTTCTATACAACTAACTGAAAATCGTTCCTCATATGACGTCACTGCAGTGCTCGGGCGACAGAGTTACGTAACCTGTCTGTGGTTTCGATGGCGGGCCGAGAGGGAAGCAGGCGACTTTTTGGCCACTTTTAACCGCTCGGTATTAATTAACCACAAGATTTTAAAGAATAAATTTGGTGTTCCGCATAAGACTAACCACAAATCTTTCATATGTAATGGTTAAAAGAGTAACAAAAAACAAAGTTTATTGGTTCTTTAACATAATGGAAGAACAGGGGTGTGTTCGAGCAAAGTGTTACAAGAGGCTGGAAACTTTGTTTCAGGCCATTTACCCCCTGCAGTCGAAATTACATGGGAAAATACATAACATGAGGCAGAATGAGTCTAAAAAAAATAAACATTTTCCCAATTATGGTACTAATTATTTGTACTTGTTTTTACATATGAGACTGATAAAAATAACTGTGGATTATGAACAGTGAAAAACTTAATCTGGACTGTACCATTCCCAGTACAATTGTACGGATTGATGAAAATAGCTCTGTTCCTGTTTCTTCAACAATGACTATTTCTGTTTGTAAAATACATCAAAGGATCAGTACATTACTACATACCTTCACATCAGTGCCGTCTGTTGGCATGAAGTCTTCATAAATGTAAGAACCAGCAGATCTTACACGACTCATAACAGAGTACACACTACTGCGGTCATGAACCTGGAAATACAAGGTCATGGACAGTTGTGATGCTTGTCATGTTTCAACAACTATGATCATGATGAAAAGCTCTCATAATAACTATCCCTACATTTTATCAATTTCATCAAACTTAACACTGTTCTTAACTTAAACAACACTCTGAATTCAGTGTTTAATAAACATAGTAAATGAAAGCTCAGAAAACAAATATCTCCTAACATACCTCAAACCAAAATGAAAGGTTTCTGATCACCATAATCACATTAGCACAACAATTGCCATGTACCAGTAGTTTCCTTAATGGGCAACATATGGCAATAAATACAGACAATAACAAATGACATATCTATAGTACTGACAATAAACATGATAAATGATAGACAACATGGCCAAATATAAGTCAGAATGTACAATATTGCTTGTACAATATGTTCTAAAAATTATATGCATTCTTTTCATAATCAACTACATGGCAAAAAATACAAACATAGTATGATCTCTATTTGTATAATATATAACCAAAAGGAACACGCTTGGGTATAGAGAATGCTTTCATAAAACCTGCAATGTGGGAGCTATCAAAGAGTTGTTTCAAGTAAACATCTCTTTGTTTGACCACATGAAAAGGTTTAGGTGAGTTAAAGTTTTACGCCACACTAAGCAATATTCCAGTTATATAAGGGTGGTCTCTAAATAATCAAGCCTGGATCAGACAATCCAGTGATCAACAGCATGAGCATCATCCAAGCAATTGGGATACCATGACATGTTCAACCAATTCAGAGTCTGACCAACCGATACTGTTGCCTTTTACGACAAGCATGGGTTACTGAAGATCAATTTAACCCGGATCTTCACAGGTCTGAAATAGTTTGAAATAGTTCAATAACTATGATAACTGTCTGAAAAAACATAATGGTAAGTTACTAAGTATGTGAATGGTGTCCCATGTCATCATCAGCAATATTCCATCCAAACACTGTGACCTTTAAACATTCAAGTCAAGGTCCAGGCAAACATACTTATGATATCATGAACAGATGCTCTTGATATCTTGAACAGCCATGGTTCATCAAGGCACAATGACAAACAATGAGCCAGTTATTACATCACAACAACCAAAGTATTTGGCATTTGGGAACGATGGGGGTATTTTAGCCCAAAATGGGTTTTAAATTAAAATACATATGAAGAGAATGAACTAAAAGCATGATGCATGCAGCTGCGGTCTCTGCCTCTTCTGTTTAGCTTACCAATCACCAGTGCACTACGAAAACATATAACATGACATAAAGGCGGCCTATTAAAGCTGATCTGTCAACTCAAATAATCCAAGAGTGAAAAACAGGAAACATTTCCTGAAGCACTTTTCAGTAAAACAAATTACTGGTTGTACATGGATATTTGTTCATGAGGTGTATGGAGGTTGATTCCTTGCATGACCTAATCTAATGAATCTCTTTTAGCTGACAATGTCAAGCTAAATTCAGTAATCATGGTAATTATTAATACCACATTTTAAGTATGCCAAGGTCAGGGCTGGCAACAGGAAAATCTATTTTCAGCTGAAAACTTAATATTGTGTCATTGAACAGGGGGTTTGAATTGATCAATGTAAAATAAAATCGGCAGAAATCCGCGAGTCAGCAGAAAATTGCCATCCCTTCAAGGCTGACTGTAAACACAATCTGGTATGGTCAAGACAAACCAAGGACTGCATGATCAAAGATCAAAGATGTGACTGAGACACCACAAGAAATAACTAGATCAAAATCACCACCTGATCCTCATATGTCTGTGATGAGCATGTGGTACTGACACCTCTTTTCCCCTTCAATGATGTGATCAAACTGTTGACAGACCAGTTTCAAACAATTCAGAGTAAATAACTGATTGCTAGCACAAAGCATACTGGGAGCAGCCAGAAACATGGAAACCCCATACCTGTCGTACCTTACGAAATAAACGTGTGCTACCTCCACCTGCTGACATAGGGAAATAGATGTGAATGTTGTGGTCTTCGGCATCTACAGGCTTCTCAACAAAGGGTTTGGGGAACAGGACACCATCTATCTCTATTGAGTCCTCAGTCTGTACATATTTACCTGTAAAAGAACTGCTGCCAGTCACATCCCAGTTGATTTCAACAGTAAATATCAAAATATTAATATTATATCTAAAGTATATCTTCAAGTTCATAAGTTGAATCAAACCCTCAGAGTCGGTTTTGAAACTATTTGCAATATATACAATAAGCTGTGGTGATAATGAACTCAAGGGACCAATCGTCTCTTAACTGCGACTGACATATACAGTACCGGTAAGTGAAAGGGAATATTCAAACAGATTGTTTTAACCTGGTTTACTGTGATTAGGGCTGGGACGATACACTATGTTATGTTACGATACGATACGTTTTGCGATATTCTACCTGCGATACAATACGTATCACAATACATACACCTTGAAAGAATGGCATAGTATTAAGATTTAAAACGATTAATTTCAAGGAATTGTGTATAACTGATAGTCCATTAGCTTCCATTCAGTACTCTAAATGTACACTTAAGGTTTTCCAGTACTCAATATTGAACAAATCAGGAGTACGTACTCCTGATGTTGAAAAATTATCTTGAGCCCTGTAAAACTGTTTTGAAAAAAAGTTGATTATCGTTTTGTATCGATACAACAGTCGACGATACGATAGCTGTATCAAACTTAAATGTATCATGATGTATCAGTCAGGGTTCCCACAGGCATGGCAGGCAAAAATCCCTGACTTTTCCCTGACAAGTATAGATTTTTCCCTGACCATTTAAGTGTAAAAACTGGCCTCCTTCCTCCCTTTCAGTCAGTCCTAACCACCGTGTTAAGATATTTCCTTTACACATATCATAAATACACACAGTATTTGTTAATTTATTACATTAACCAAAACATTGATATTTGTGATGAAGAAAATTTTCCTTGACTCTCCTGCCACAATGTTACATAATACTATTAGATACATTTGACCGTGACCATCAAATATATATTCTAAGGTGAAGTCAGTAATATATCATCTGAAAACTTTGTATTTTATATTAAAGGCTTTTGACAAAGAGCATAAATGTGAAACTAATAATTTAATTGAATTGTTTCATTCAAAGTCAGGAACACAGTTCTTCATTATCACAAAATGTTGTAATTATCAACGGCATATTTGGAAAGAATAAACATGCAAGATGTAGCTTTACATTCAGTACAACCATGACAATTAGATTATGAACACCATTCAAAGACTTTCAATTTTGTGAATAAACAGCAAATGTCAGAACATAGGGCATATTATAAACCTATGCTGTACTTTAACAATGGAACTTATATGGGTATTTTTGGCCAAAATGGGCTTTCACAATTTGCAAGAAACCACCATAGCCATCATACTATTTATAATATTTTGGAAAGGTATACAAATGAATGGAAAATTATCTGTTAACATAGTTATCTTTAGAAAGGTGGATCTATTGCCTATAAAGAAAAATGTTTTTGAATGGCACACAATTATCTATTGTTAATCACTATGCCTATCTCAGACTAGTGTTTTTCCATGCTAAACAAGAGTCATCAGAAGGTGACAAATCCCCCGGCCCCTACAAATATGAAAGAGCAAATCATCTGACAGTTACTTAAAGTTGAACTTCATTTTTGTAGACAAAGTCCAAAACGTTTCCATGGAAACCAAGCAAAATAGATACGACAAAAATCTGTAAATAGCAAAAGGCACCACTTTAGGTTCTGTTTGATATATCTGCAAAGTTTTGTTGAAAATATTGAACTGTTTTCGAGTTATGCTCCAGAAACAAAATGATTACGGACGGACAGGGGAAGAAGAGAGAGACAAAAAGAGTGTTATATATCTGAATATCATATTGTTTGATTCACAAATTCAACCGATTGTGCTTCATAGAAGGATATGTCTATTATGTAACCCATCTGTAGAAGATGAAATTCACATTATGCTGATTTAAGAAAACAATACATGCCAAATAATTATCTGTAAAAATATCCTTCAAGTGACTTTGTTTCCATTCTTTCCTCCAGAAATGAAAATGTAATATGTAATCTAGGGCTTTATGTAAAACATGCTGTTATGCTTAAAAGCAATCTCTGATCTGAACTGTAATTTATTTCATGAAATGTCTGTAACGTGTGCTGCATCTTTGACTTTTGACAACTACCATACCTGATTAGCGACATTCAGAGTCTTATTTTTCCCTGACCAAACCCCTAAATTTCCCTGACTTAACCCCCAAATTCTCTGACTATTCCCTGACTTTTGAAAACATATAAAAATTCCCTGACTTTTCCCTGACTTTCAGAGAAATGCCAAATTTCCCTGACTTTTTCCTGACCTGTGGGAGCCCTGTCAGTGCATCGGTGAATCGTCCCAGCCCTAACTGTGATGCGATAAAGGGACTGCTGTGAACTTGGTAACCTCCAGTACAAACTCAGAATGGACTTGAAAGATGATATCTGTAACCATCTGAATAGTTAGAGCAGTATTCTTTAAAAAAAAAACATAAGCACTGACTGATAGCCTTTTCTTCATTTCTGTTGAGGACAGCGTATCTTGGGTGAGCAATTCCCTCCTGGACTAGAATCTGGTACACTTGTCGCCTAAAATACAATACAAATATTCTATTAATGAGATGGAATGGTACATATTCTGGTTCTTACTTAGAGCTTTTCCTACTAAATACTCTAACAACTTCTAACATGCATAGATATATCATGATTATGTGTATCTAATGTGAACCTAAATGAACAAAATATTAACATTTGATCAAGCTAATCGTAAACACAATAAAGTTAATTTTGACATAGCAACTCTTTTCCGTATATTCAAGCATAATGCTCAACTGTCATTGCTGATAAGGCAAACAAATTTGTTGTCACATAAAGGTTCAGAATTAACATTTATCTGAAAGTCTTAGACAAGTTACCTTTCCTTATGGAATACGACTGTTAGTGTTTGTACCACAAGAACATCATTTGGAAACTAGTGAAAATCAAAATTAACTTCAATCAAAATCTTGGTGAGATGAAAACACTCACTAAGCCTTCTTTTGCAATGACTCTTTGACATGATGTGTAAGCAAATATGTGAAACCCTTACATATATGTCAGCAATGCTAGGTTGATCTATGTCATTTCTTCATATTCAAGTGATTTTGCTTGAGACAAATGTCTAAACCTTTTTATGACTTTATCAACATTTAAAAGGATAAACAGGATGACATGTTTATATGACAAATAGGTAGAAAGAGTACTACTAATGTCACTGTCTGATAATGTACACTCAATAATTCCTCAACCAATTAGGTTATACCCCTTCCATTAATTAATTACATGAATTCAGCAAGTTTAAAACCTACCTGTCTCTCAAACAATACTGATTTTCCAAGTCATTGATGACAAAAGGTTTTCTGAGCTTCTCATATGCAATGGCTTTGCTAAGCGGGAAGCCGTGTGAGTAGAACGATATCAGAGCATCACAGATAGGCCAGTCCTCAATGGATTCATTCAAGATCACAGATTCTTCAAACACAAGAATCTGTATTCTCTCAAAATGCTCAAGTCTTTGAAGAATTTCCCTCATTGGCTTAGACATAGCCTTCTTCGACATTGCACACACCCCAACCACAATCCTTCTGTCTGCGGAATCAGATCGCTGAAATACAAATGAGACTTTTCTTTAAAAACGCTTTTCATGATTACCATGAATGAAGATAATGCAATATTTGAGGAGTCAAGGGGTCCTTGCCATACCCCTAATGTTGAATGAAAAGATGTGGTCCCATAATTTCAAATACAACATACATATGGAGCAAAAAAGGATGATCGCATTATCCCCAATAATATAGAACACTGATAACAAGCATTGTCACTAAGGTGACATAATCCCCCGCTGCAAATTATCAAATCAAACTTAACAAGTAATGAAAGTGATGGTTGTAATTTAAGATGAAGTTAAATGTAAACAAAACATGACCAGTCAACCTCTCTTGATATCTTGCTCTGTAGTTGTTCAAACGCACAAATATTTCCAAGACTCACTTTGACCTTGACATGAATGTCTTAGTGTATGAAATATGCAAAAATAGTAATAAAGAAATTGCATATTCAAAAACATTCAAGGGAAGTCTTGAAAGTATATGAAGAAACTCCAGTGAACTGTTCTTGAGATATCTCTCTGACAATCTTAACACGCAGTTTAAGATGCTGAAATCTTCAAAGTGCCCCATGACCTTGGAACTTATGTGAAGGTCACCAAAATCGACTGGGCTTTGCGCCTTCCCTAGATAAAGCTTGGTGTTGAATATGAAGAAAATCCAGTTAACGGTTCTTGAGATATCTCGCTGACAAGGGTAAAACGTTAAAGTCCCCTTGTGACCTTGAAATGAAGGTCAAGGTCACCAAACCTGACTGGGACCTTTCTTTTACTGTGATGAACCTAGGTACCAAATATGAAAAGAATCCAGACAACAGTTCTTAAGATATTCCAATTTGTACGTGCACGGACGTAGCCTAATACTATATCCCCCGCTTCATGCTAAATGCGCAGCAGGGGATAATAAGTAGCTTGGCTCAAAACAGATGTGATAAATGTGGACATTATCTTTAGATTAAGGAGTTTAACTTAGTGACACAGGCAAATAATCTTTTAATCCAACATCTTGAACATGTTTCATAACCTTTGCTGGTAGAGATCAATACAAATACGAATACAAATACACTTTCCACATATTCAGCAAAACATTTGCAACTGATAATTAAACGTCAGCCATTTAATTTGGAAAATAGAGAATTTAGTTACAAACGTGAATAATCATCACAAGTTATGTAATGCATCATATCACATGACAGAAATAGGCACTTAGATATTTATTCTTTACATCTAGATATTTACCTCATAGCAACCTGGACTGCGAGGCCTCTCCTCAAAGTCATCACCGATCATGAACTTCACCCTGGGTGAATGTGGCCCCCCTGCTGCCTCCTGTTCTGCAGAGCTGACATTCACCCAGATGCCTGGAATTGGTAGCTCCTCCTTCCCTTCCATGTTTCAAGACGTGGTCAGAGCCTACTGACTGGAAGGTCTTTTGACATCTTTATCCATAACTCATGGTGCATGTCTACACTGATCTGTTGATTTGAAAGAAAATATGGTGTAAAAATATGACTAAAAAGTACTGTATTTCAATACAAATCGGCAATATAAATTCATACTTTTTCTTTTTATGCAATTTTCATCTAATACACTAAAAAAAAGAACCAAATTATCCATGAAACTACAATGACAAAATTTGAACCTCATTTCAGTGCACCATATCTGACTAAGCATATCAGCTCTGAGCAGTTTAGGTATCCAATATCCATGGTTCCAGAGGACAATTCTTGAATATTTTAATTCACCATTGTAACAACACATTTTCAATTGAGCCCTGATTTTTTAACAAATCCAGGCCACTTTATGGTCACATGCTTAATCTTAATGAAGTTCATAAGCTGAATAGTGATGGATGACTTGACAGATAATCAGCTGATGGTAATGGACTAGTTCATATAAATATTAACTGGTTTAAAAAAAACATATCAAGAATAGTACTGCTATTTATTCACCATTTCCACTGAGAACTCATTACAATTAACATTCAAACGGATTGAATAAAACTTTTATCAGAGCCAAATATCTGACCAAGCTGAATATGTTGCCTGCATACAAACATCTTGTTATCATGCTATATGGACAGGTATCATGGTTATCATTTGAACTTTAAACCTTCCCATGTCAGTGTTCACGAATGGTGTTTCCAAGTAACAGGACATTTGGTCCTATAAGTTTCAGATGTCTGTCTGACCCATTGAAAATTCACAGGACCCATAGAATAAAATTAAACACACATTTCAGGTTTAACATTTCTTATAATTGGCATTGAAATTATTAACAAACATAAGCTTTATAAACAGCAAACAAGTGTCACATGTCACATATAACAACTTCAGTTAAAGTCATTGTGAAATATACAGTCAGACACTGGGGCCGGTGGGTTGTAGACTTCTAGCGAATCTGCCGGATTTGTCAGAGGGTCCGGCACTCTTCGTGAACACTGTCCCATGGTCATATGTGTCTTGTGTTCTGATGGCTACATGTGAAGTCATTATAGCACTAAATAGTGTGTAACCATTTTGTATCTTCCGACCTCCCTTGGAGTCTGATGATAGCATCCCTAAGAACATGTCATATTTGTCCACCCACCCCACAGATACCATTTATTTCTGTTATTGTAATTGTTCAGGCAATAATAGTAAAGTCCTGTGAACTATTTTCAACTGGTGTTTCATTATGAGGCTGCACTGGATCAAAGTGAAAATATGAATGACAGGAGGAGCAAAATCTTTGAAAAAATAATAGGACACTGAACATGCTAAATGAGTGAAAAATAACATTTTCACATGGAGAGTATATTTACATAACATTTATTAAATGGACAATTTGAAGAAAACATTTTTCATTCGCATTTCAATGGAAAATATTTTACAATGTATAATAGTATATTTTCAGATAAGGTTAGATAACTTGATCACAACAGATTAGTTTGTCCAATTTATAAGGAACAATGCATGTCAGTTAAAGAGGATCACCAGGCTAACAGTCCAAACTAGAGAAAACTGGAAAGACTAACAGTATCACAGTATCTAGCCCAATGCAACACATACTGACCCAGTATTGGTAAGTGATTAGCATGCGTGACAAGTTGCTTGGAAACCCTTCAATGTTAGATTACTAATAGACTTTAACCATAGCACTGTCTTGAAAGGCCTACATTTGATTCATAATACAAGAAAGGTAATAATCTTATACATGAATTTGAAAATACACACTTCATATATATTTATAACAGGGTAATCCAAACAGTTCATTGGGTTATATCTAGTAGGGTTGTAAAGATGCATTGAACTATCGATGGATTGCAATTGTTGAGTTTCTGATAGCAATTAATCGATGGTACTGGTAGAAACGAAAAACTATTGATGCATTGATAGCATGTGTGACTGTCAATAGTTTAGTAATTGACTTCTGTTGATAAATGCACAGCACAAAATACACGATGTTTAGGTGCAGACTTGCAGCTTCATTGAGTTTATGTTTTAACTGTTTACTTAATCTAGGTTTCAAGTTTCTTGTCAGTTATCAAAAGAGACTGAAACTACTTCAACTTGTTTTTATTTCACATAAACTAAACATTCATTTGGGAAATGACTTCAAATGAGACAATTCAAGGAGAAAAAACTATTGCAATAGTTGGTCGCAATACACTATCGCTATCGCAATAGTACGTCATTTCTGTGTCTGTAGATAGCAGTTGAAAAGCATATTCATAACTTGCCAATAAAGTATGTACACTATTTACAGGTAAGTTACTGTTCTCTTTCAGCTTTTATCTTTCAGATGGTTTGAATGGCAGTCCATGTCAAGGACAATAGCAAGTGTCAAGACTCTGAAGCCCACGCACTGGACAACAAGGCTGCAAATGTACCCAGTGATTGCAGTTACGATACATGCACTGTCCCCACTGCACAAAAAAACAGAGCTGTGAAAAAATGCTATAAGCGATGGCCCAAAAAAAGGTTTCAATAGTTTTTAACTTTTGACAGAGGACATAACCATACGCCACGTGACTTATCATGCTTATTGTTTATTGAAACCTAGGAAAGCAGACGACAAGATGTGAGAAGGCTCGTGCTAACGGTATCTTTTTTACTTGACATTTTATTAACATAAAATTTGGTATTAGTGATCTTGGACTATTTATCTCATTGTGAGACAATTAGATTTAGTGTACTGTAATGCAGAGGTTTGGAACATTTTTGTCAACGAGGCGAGGCAGTGTGTGTACAAAAAAATTACCTTTTATAAACGCTAAAAACTGCCATCAAGGTATATACTGTCACTGACGGGGTCTTAGTACTATACTAAGACCCCGTCAGTGACAGTATATACCTTGATGGCATTTTTTAGCGTTACAAGCCCAAGACCCCGTCAGTGACAGTATATACCTTGATGGCAGTTTTTAGCGTTACAAGCCCCTGTGCTCTCGTTTTGTATTTGAGTCAACAAAACGTTGATACAAGAAGTAACATTAACTAAACCCAGTCACCCAAAGGCGCAAGGAAATACTGTATAACAAGGTGGCTGCGTTAGGAACGCAAGACTCGGGTATCTCACTCAAATATCTGCGCACGAACAGATAGAAATTCACGTCTGCTCGACCTCTGGGTTTGAAAAGGCACAACCAGCTGCGCGTTAAATACCTATGCAACGATATAGCTAATATGTCATCGTGTATTCAAGCCTGGTACTAAGAAGAAGCATGTTATTTTACCCACCGTGTTATGTTTTTTCTCTTGTTTCCAAAAGGAGAAACATCGTTTAGGCAGTTACAAAGGTCTACATTCTTGAGTTGTTGCCATCGAATGTCAAAACGGAAGTGCTTACATTCAAGAGAAGACAACTCTTGCAATAACCTTCTTCATTGACCTCTGGCTATTTTCCAGCTGCGTTACGTCTGAGCCTGAAGCAATAGCATAAATTGTTTTGCGTGAAATTAATGTTGACTCGTAATTAGAATGTGCTGGTACATCCTTAACGAAACATTACATGGGGCGTTCTTAAAACTCTTGAGGGTTCTATAGAGACCAGTGAGTCAATATGCGATCGAAGTTGCTCAATATTTATACATTTCTTATCGTATGTCCTTTTCCCGTTAAACAGATATTTTCGCTTCTTGAAAAATGGAATACAAGTGAAACCTTTGTTGTAGTATTAGTTTGTCTTGTGTTGTTTTAAAAACAGAAGCAGGATCGATAGAGGTTCTTTGAGAATTTATAATTGTGTTTGCCACTTTAAAAGGGCACTGATCTAGAGCGATTCCCGGGGACTGGTTGATGCTTTTGTAACGGATTTTTTGTTCAACCTGAGGGTACCCAAATATGTCCATTTAGTTCAATTTCATCACCAGTGACTAAAAATGTCAGGGATGAACGAATATGCAAGTCAGTGTACATCTTTATATTTGGGGCTTATTGACCTAGCATATTTAACCACACATTTTGATACACTTTGGAACATCCTAAGACACTTGTGAAATGTAAAATGACTGTAACATCTGGGAATTTTTCTACATTTTCTAAGTGACTCATAATTTACACAAACACGCCTACAACGAAAGGTGGAACAACGAATTAGTGTTGTTTATTTTACATCGAAGAGCTTCCTTAACGACCAAGTATCTTATAATCTAAAATATATGTTTCGGGATATCATAAATGGTGATTGTAACTATGTTTTAGATTTTTCACACTGACGTTAGGTCTCTGGTCAGTCGAGATAGCACACGGGACATGCATTTTCATGATGTCAACGGTTCTTTGAAAATGAAATCATTTAGTAAGACCACAATGAGCAATCAGTCAACGTGTTAATCTTTTGAACAAAGGATGTTGGTTTTACACAGGCTCTGCGCCACATGCAGGACATGGGTGTAAACTGCGTACACGAACACTAATTTTACAATTCTTCTCTTGCTGCACTTTCTTATTACATAACATGTAATACATTTGCTACATCAGACCTGAATTTCTAAGGTTAAGTGAGTATGGGTGACCCATCGCTATGGGTCGCATGTTCACGTACTGCGAAGGCGCCAAGCACAGTGGGGTATAAATTTCACAATAGCAGTATGTGCACAACAGTTTTCGGAACTAATTTAAGAGACGACCGTGTAAAGTAACTTAAAGACTTTCAGAAAATACACGATGGCAAGTTACTTGCATGGGGTGACGTAGGGATGTCGTGTTGCAACATCGGTGCTAACTTAAAAATTAACCACGCCGTTAATAGTCGACTTGTGAGTATGTGACCACCAATGAAGTAAAAGGGTCGTCTAAGACCTGGAAGACCGAGGAAGGAAGACCAATGGCCGTGATGGCCCGATCCTATTTCGTCTGGCAAAACACAAACCGTGATCCATGGCGAAGAACTGCGCCGGCAATGGAGAGTGGGTTCCGAATCATGAGGTTGCAGCCTGCTGGTCTGTGAGAACGTCTTCCTGATCCACATGCAACTGAACCCTTTGGCAGTGGCTCAGTGATGGTGTGGGTTGCGTTTTAATTAGTATGACTGCAAGTTGGGTCTCACTATTTGGGACACTCAATAGTCAACGTTATCAACAGGAAATACAGGATGCCTCTGTCGTGCCACATTTTGATAGCCATCTCTTTTCCAGTTGTCCGATATTCATGGATGACCTCACCGATCTCCAGACCTCGTTGCCCATTTGCAGAACGGCATCATCGAAACATTACCATAACCAGCAAAGAACCCCGATACGAACCTCGCTGAACATCTTTGGGACCATCTAGAACGCAAAATTTAAGCTAGAGAGCCCCTTGTTCAAAATCTGCAGGATTTGTCGCAGACACACCATTTGGAATAGCAGAGAATTCCGATGCTGAGAATGTGACGCTTGCTTCCCAGTATGGGCCGGAGACTTCCAAGATGTTATCAAAGTAAGAGTACAGAGAGTAACACCGCACACAGACCACAATATTTTCTGCAAAATCATAAATAGGCCATGGCCCATGCCTACATAGCATTGAACTCATTAGTTAGTTTCAAAGGATGCCCCGGATGACTTCACGACATTTTAAGCAAAGCTATACGTGTGACAATTTTTTCTACAACAGCACTATAATAATTTATTCGGAATTGCCTTCTTGAGGCAGGTCTCAGAGCTAGATGGGCTTAACTTGATGTTTTGACGCAAAACTAACGCCTGTAAGAGTATAGCATTACGACTGAGTGAGTTTAGTTTAAGGCCGCACTCAACAATATTCCAGGTATATGGTGGCAGTCTGTAAATAATCGGGTCTGGACCTGGCAATCCTGTGATCAACAGCATGAGCCTCGATCTATGCAACTGGTATACGGTGGCATGTGTCAACCAAATCCGAGGGCCTGACCAACCGATCCCGTTAGTCGCCTCGTACGACAAGGATGTGTTACTGAAGATCAATTCTATCTGGGATCTTCAAGGGGGAGAACTATTTGGTTCAGTGATGAGGCAAAATGTTTGCAAGCTGCATCAAGTTGATGGGAAGATTTCGAATGGACCCTCGTCGCAATGAATAACGTTTATGGCATACCGATAACCACATGAGGAAAATTGACTGATTTTGCAGTGCGACCTCAAGTATATTCTGAACATTTATGAATGTGTTTTGTATCACTCTGTGGATTGTGGGTTGTAGGACAATTCCCCACTCAGACAACTCCCCTCACAGACATTTCCCCACATGACAATTTCCCATCACCTGAGTGACAATTCCCCACACCTTGTTGTTTTTTTATGAATTGTGTTGTTGAGTTCTGGAGAAGTACTTACAAGACAAGTACTATTGTTTTTCTAATTATGGAGGTGAGCTCTTTTCTTAGCAATTATGTCTATGTATTTTTCACTGTCTGGAGCAAAGGAGACATTATGTTGTTTTTGTAATGAATCTTAAAGATCACCAACAACGCCTTAAGAACCTTTGTGTTGCATAAAGTGCTGGACAGAAATCCCTCGATCAGTTCCTGATATCCATTTCAAAGAACATTCGTCTTAGCTGAATGAAAGAATGTGCAAATGTAATCATTGTTATCACCTGTGTGTCGGATACTGTGCCTTTATGTATTTATTAAAGAATGTGAAATATATAATAAAAGTGTCTGATACTGACAGTTAAACTGGACGTACTGATTATTGTTAAGGAATGTGAAAGAATGAATAAATATAATAAAAAAGTCAATATCACTTTTTAATGTGTGGGGAATTGTCTGGACCCCGTGGATTGTGCACCCATGCTGATTGAAATCTTTAGTAGGGTTATCTCATAATAGTAATGAAATGTTTTTGATGGTAAACCATGAATTCAATGGTATACGATAATGTCTCCACTAATGATCCTCATGAAATACACCCCTTTGAGGTGTCTTTAGGACCGTTCATAATTCAGGGCTGGGGTGTGTGGGTTTGGGTGATGATGATGATTTTTATGGAGCGACATGTACAATGTGAATGACACCCCCTAAAATGTATGTATAAAATAAGTGACCCCCTGCATGTCGTACAAAATCAATGACCCCCCCACAAATAATTTCTAAGCATAATCTTAAACATGTTTTTATGTGTAAGATTGCTGACACACCCTCCCCAGTACGTGTGTTCAAAATTGCTGACCCCCATCAAAATGGGTGATCTCCTTAAAATCATCATCAACCCCACCCCCAGCCCCACCCCAGCCATAAATTATGAACGGTCCCTTACAGTCCAAAATTTGAAGCCTCAGGTCAGCATTACCCAGATCGGTTACTGGCATTATTCCTTTTTGGAATAAAAAGACATTTTTACAGCAAAGAAAGACATATGGGTCATCTTCAATTTATACATACTTAGTAGTTACAGGCACCAAAAGCAAAAATGTTTGAACATTTTACAATTGCTTCAAGCAATAATTCTTTTTGCACTCATGGTGATCACAATTTCTCGCTTTACAACCCCTTCAAATAGTGAAACATGTTGAATGTTTAGTTCACTTATAAAATCTACAGTCAAAATGGGTCAACCTAAAAAAGAAATGAAAATGATTTAAAAACATTAAGTGTCTTTACATCTATGCAAGATGGTAGCAGTAGTAGCGACCACCAAGATCTGATTTCATGTGATTAAATTTTGTTTTGATTTCAACACCTGCTCAGTTACAAGGGGCAGAGAAATGAAAGCAGCTAAAATGGCTCAAACTCACTGATTATCACCTAAGGCTGAAACATATTACAAAGAAAAAACAACTCTTACGGATATGAAACTTCTTTAAAATTTATTTTAATCCACAAAAATACATTCCAAATTCAAAAACAATTTACTGTATGTCAGTATATTAGCTTATAATAAAGTTTACATGTCAGCATACCGGTTTAAACTGATCTTCATATGATTGTCTAATGTCATAAACTCATGGTCTCATGTTTGCATAACAGACTAAGCTGACAATCAAATGTCTGTCCAACCTCAAACTGATGGTTGAAAGTCACAAGTTTACTCAGAAGACTGTAGATGTGCCCATGATGTTCCTGTACTAAGTGTCACTCGGATTGGGACATTGAGTTTTGCCATGTCCATACAGAGAGCTCTGCTGTCTTCCATGACATCTTTCACAATACCTGCAACATGTCACACAGAATAACACAAGCCTTCAATATTATGATTACTTTGCCACAATTTGAAATTTCTGTGTCTTTAATCTGAAGCGTTCGCTCGTCACGCTTAAGACCCGAGTTCGATTTCCCACATGGGTACAATGTTGGTTTTATCGTGCTAGCCCACTGAGATACCATGCCACAGTGAAGCATGAATACCCCACTCAGACACATTATACTGACTCCAAGCCAACCAGTCCTTGTTGTACCCATAAATGCCGAGCGCCAGGCAGAGAACAACAAGTACCATATTTTAACATCTTTTGGTATGATGCAGTCAGGGATCAAACCCTCGACCTTCCGCTGTCCGGGTGGACGCTCTAACCACTACACCACAGAGGCGGTCCACTTTAATCTGAAGTTAATGATACTACAAGTGAATGCTAATTTCAATGTCCTCCCATCTGAACATTGAAAATTTTCTGGAGCAATATATGAAGATTTAGATATGTACAGTGAGCATGTGGTACTGCTTTGACATATTATTACCCTGTACCTAAACTTTACAATTCATTTCATATGGTGGGAAGGCAAAATGTGGTTGTGATTCAAATGAATGCTGTACACATTATTGCCCCACAAACATTTCTCTGACCTTTGACTTTGTCTAGGTGTTCTTCTTGCACCTCATACAGCAGTTCATCATGGATCTGGGCGAGAAGTCTGACAAACATCAATACACACTGATAAGACTCATAATTTCAAGGTAAAAATACTGTCAGTCACAACAGACAAGACGATTTATTTGTCTGACAGTGTGAAGTTTGTAACCACAATCGTACTTAAGCAAAAGCTTCACAGGGGTTTAAAAAATTCATTGTGTTCAAAATTGAGAAAATACAATGCCACAGGAATACCCCACTCATTATACTGATTAATTGCCCAGTGGTCCTTGTTTCATCCCCAAAATGCCAAGCAGAAGGTGGGGTGAAAAGAACTACCACTTCTGGTCTTTTGGTATGAAAGTGGATCAATCTTTCACTCTCCGGTCCAGGCAAGTGCTCAATTCACTTGACCATGGGGGCAGTGCTCAGACCTCAAAGTTCAAATAATTAGGATCATAAAGGTGTAGAGTGTATATTTGTCTTATTTCCATAAATATTTGATACAATAACATGTATGAACAGTGCTCAGATATCAAAGTTCAAATAAGTAGGATCATAAAGGTGTAGAGTGTCTATTTGTCTTATTTCCATAAATATTGGATACAATAACATGTATGAACTTTATGTATTGTGTAACTAGATTCACTTATGCAATGTCTGTCATACCTAACTTTTGAACTCATGCCATGCTTGTTGAGATGACTTTGGACCTGTAGCATAGCTGCCTTACACAAATCAGCAGCTGATCCTGTGTGTGGGTAAACATAATGGTAAACGCAGTTTGTAATAACATCTTGTAGCAGGATTACACAACTTGTACTCCAAATAGTTTAAAATCTAAATCTCTTTGTATCATCATAAGCGACACGCAAACTGACATAATTCTAACAATGGTTGGTATTGAATCTCATTCAAGACAACTAAATATTGACATTACTGGTATTTCCTGTTTAATGATTATTTTCAGAATTCTCCAACCATGTCCAAGTGAGATGTCTGTAAGACTTCAAAGACTTTAGTTTGATTTTAATTTGATTACCCTGAACACAGAAATTAACAGCCTGCCTCCCAGCCTGTGCCCTCAGCTGGGGAGATGGATGATTAATGTGTGGGATGAGGCGTTTCCTCTTGAAAATTGTATGTGTGAAACCTAGAAATTGCAGAAATATATATAGGCATTATCTTTGTTGATATGTACATTGACACTTAAAACATCTATACTGATAGATAAGAAAATGATCCTTCATGTCATATAGTCTTCTTTAGTGTTTGTTTAAAGATAATAATGAATTATGACTGACCATGTTGTTGGCAGAACTCGACACACTTCTTCGTGAAGCTGTTTACAGCAGGGAATTTTGCTGAAACCATAGGTAATCCAACTTGATGAACAATACAGAGAGCATTGGTACAGTTGCCATTTAATCTGATTAATCTATTATTGAAGAGTGACTATGTTCCATGTCCTGCTGTCCATTTCCAATCTAGGTCTTGATCATTATGGTCATATTCAAAATGGCACAGGTGTCTGAATTACTTTAATCAAGCCACTAAGGATGGACAAAATGCCTATGCCTAGTAATCCCCAATAGCTCTTATTAAAACAAATTTGCTTTGAAAATAAATTGTAATTCAGAACCAATAATATTACCCTTAGAAACAACTAAATATCTTTAATGATTAATCACGCAAGCATCATCATCACCATCATCACAAAGAAAATCAGCTGCAATACATACTGAGGAAGCTAGTCATGATAGCCTTGGCATCATTGGAGCTCACTTTGAGATAATCAGCCAACTTCTCTTTGCCTACAACAGAACAATGGCTTGTCTTAAAAAGTCATAGGGTCCCAAAAGAAGATACGGCTGATGCTGGGGTTTCAAACATGATTGCAATCAAGGTGTTTTCACAGATAGTGAGGATATGAAAGGAGCTCTATTCTCAGAGTGGTTGTTGGTTTCAACACTGCTGTGAACAGTATTCCAGTTATATCATGGCATGTCAGGTAGAAAAGCTTGAAATGATGCATGTCTTAGACGTATAACACTTTGATGCAACCCACAAACATGGGCATGGTGGTGACAAGCAATAAAACAGATTCGTGTCTAACTGTGATTCAAAACAACAATTTTTAGGTTTCTGGTTTAATCTGAGTGAGTGAGTGAGTTTAGTTTTATGCCACACTCAGCAAGATTCCAGCTATATGGTGGCGGTCTGTAAATAATGGAGTCTGGACCAGATAATCCAGTGATCAACAGCATGAGCATCAATCTATGCAATTGGGAACCGATGACATGTGTCAACCAAGTCAGCAAGCCTGACCACCCGATCCTGTTAGTAGCCTCTTACGACAAGCATGGGTTACTGAAGATCAATAGTCTAACCCGGATCTTCTCGGGTAGGTTCAATCTGAAAAAATCCTAGTCATTAAAATATTGCATTAACAGTGAAAGAACATATACTTTAAGTATCTATTGCTGAATTCCTGTCACACAATCTTCAAATTTTATTATCCAGGGTGGTATCAATGGAGATACACTTGATATTTAGGCATGTACAATCTTCTTCTAATGCAGGGGCGATGGGGTAGTCTAGTGGTTAAAGCGTTGGCTCGTCACGCCGAAGACCTGGGTTCGAATCCCCACATGGGTACAATGAGTGAAGCCCATTTCTGGTGTCCCCCGCCGTTATATTGCTGGAATATTGCTAAAAGCGGCGTAAAACCAAACTCAGTCAGTCAGTCTTCTAATGCAGTTACCTATACCTGCATAAGTTATGCTTAATATTCCATGGGTATACATCATTCACAAATACAGTGTTCTTAAACTATTTTTAATTTCATTCATAGCAATGTTTGCCAAGGTCTTTACAATATAATCAATTAATGCCATCTTTCATATGTGTTGGTTTTACTGGGTTCTTTTTCGAAGAAACCTAGGTTATGGTGAAAATATAAGTAATATAAAAGTCTCCATATTGTACAATTTTCTCTTGTAGACAGAAAACGTATACCATTAACAAAAAGTAGGGGATATTGGATTTACAAGACTGATAAAATGCAAATGATGAAGCCAAGGAGGAAAGATATGATTAAGAGAAATTAAGGGAAAATGTGACAATTTATTCCATTCCTTTGGAAATGTTTCATCTGTATGGATATATATTACTTTTTTCCCATATGCATTGACATCAGCTAGTGGTATGCAAAATGGAATATCCCCTACATTTTTTTGAATGGTATATTGTAAATTATATACTCTATTTTTGGTAATTTGTGAAATGTGGTTAAAGTTTTAGTTTTCACATGAGAAAAGTACCACATTGAGTTAACTTTTCTGGTTCAGGCAACGAAACAATTTGTGACTCAATTTAAAGACAAGGGATTATCAGGCTCATTGGTGGTTAAAGAAACTTTAAACTGGTGTGTATCATATTGACAATTCTTCCTCGACTGATGAACCATGTTACAAAAATATTGTGCCTAATGTTTTTAATTCCAACTGAAGAAAACATCTAACAAAATCATTTAAGATATTTGAACATGAAAAGCGAAATACATGTACCTAATGAAAACATACTTCCTGCCTAATTTCCTCATAACTGGATTAGGACAGCTTAAACTCACCCACTCCATACATGACTGAGTAGACTATTCTCTTGGTCTGTTCTCTCTCTGGTGGACTGACTTCATCAACTGACTTGCCCAACCTACATGTAACAATTGACTGACTAAGCCCAAAAGCAATCATATGTATACAGTTAGTCTGTCTCACAGTCCCTGAACCACATTATTTACCCTACTGCCAAGCCCTATCTGCAATGCTAAAGTCTAATTAAAGCAAGTCTAGATTTCCTCAGGTTCTGAATCTCTGGTCTCCCTGGGGCTCCTTTTCAATTTAAATGGGCTTGTTTGTTACTATAAAAATTATATATATTCAGAGACTAAGTGTTAGTCTAGTATACAGTGTACAAGTATTGTTGCACGACTTTCTGAAGACAATTAATTCCAAAACAATTTCCAATTACATGCATTCATACAGTTTGCACATTGGTTTTATTTACCTAAATGAACCAAAAACATAGGCAATTTTTAAATAACAAATGCAGTCCAAACCATTGTGATGTGAGTTCAATGAAGATGTCATGGAGTTGAGGATTGTTGAAGATACCCAGAAGGACTTGGTCATCAGCCAGGTGAGCTAACAGTCGTAACTCTATCTGTTGAAAGTCTAAAAACATTAGTTAAGACATTGGTTAGATGCCATAGTGAAAACCTGGTATTACTATAGTTCTATAAAAAGTTTTATATATATGTTTATATTAAAAAAGAAAATATATTGGTAGAATGAAAAGGATTTATTTCCCCTTGTGTTGTACAAAAGTGCTATAATCAAGGCTAGTGGTGCGAAATGAAATGACTGTTATGATCATGTAGAGCAAATTTTTGAACATGACAAACTCATGCAATGTAATATAAAGGCTTACAATAGGAGGGCCATTTATCATATTTCTAACTCAGTTTGGATAAAGACATAAATTGAAAACACTTAAACCTTGAATAAAAATAATTTCTGTTGAGCAGTGTTTGAATGACAAAAGAGTTTCTCTACCTGCTGCCAGTAACAGGTGCCCGTCATGGCTGATGAACGGTTCTCGAGCAAAGATCTGTGTGGTTTGCTCACTTACTTTACCTGGCAAAACAACCATACAGCATTTAATAAGATGTCTGGAGTGACTGTTTGCACATACAGATTTGACAGTTCTCACATTTCTTAAAATCTATAATACATTTCAAAGCTTCAGATTGACATGAACACATGAGTAAAGTGACCTAAATGAAAGTCCAGGTATAAGAAATATGGGCCTGGGAACATTTGGCTTATCTATGATAGATCACTGTCAGTGACCAATGGCAGATGACAGTTTGAAACACTAATATTCTAAGTAAATTTATGATAGTTATTACAAATATATAAAAACTACGATAATAATTTCAAAATGTTGATAGATTAGAATGGAGTTTATGATTGCTGGTATATAAAGATGGTCATTTTGACTGTAATATTGATTATTAGGCTAAACTTTCTATGGTATACATGTTTTGCTTACCAAGAAGCTTGGGCTGTTTGAAATTTTGTTTAAAAAATATTGTGATGCTTAATATTAAACAAAATTGGGTTCATTGGTCTGATGGGGAAAATTAATTACTATTCTGTTTAAGTGTTATTTTAATAACTTCTACCAATGTAAGCCTTTTTTCCTTTCTTTTTTTGGATCAAATATAGAGCAGTGAGAACAATAAACTAAGAAAAAGACTGATGAATTCTTATGTATTTGATGATAGTTGTTTTTCTCTCATCATTCATGCAGTTGAACATGGCATTTGAAAAATGTAAAAAAAAGCTGTTGCCTTACCAACAATAAAGTTGTCCTGAACATCTGTGATGGTGACAGGGACCTTAGGGATGGCCTGTATGTTTGGCTGTGATGATGTGAGTCTCCCTGTGGCAGCAGCTGTCTGGTCCCAGTGGGTAGACAGGTAGCCTTTCCTCACACAGGATGCCATCCCATCAACATAGGTAGACTTCAGCTTCTGGAGCTGCCACAAGCATCAAGTATGACAGGTAAAAGATAAAATTTGCAAGCTTTTGAAAATATGACACAGTAAATAACTAGAAATATGAAATGTATGAAATGCTGTACCAACTTCAGGGAAGGTTATATTGGCTGAAAGATCTGTCCAATCATATCATTGGCAGCATGAAGTAGGGTGTTATGTCACTTTCTGCAATATGACTGCAGGGCACATCAGGAATGGGCTTCACACATTGCACCCATGTAGGGGTTCGAACATGCATCTTTGGCATGATAAGCAAACACTTTAACAACTAAGCTACCAATATGAAAATTGTTTCATTGCAGTGTTTGACTGATCAAATGAAATCCCTTGGGACCTGCATCAGAAAAAGTTCCCAGCATACTATACTCTCCCCAAAAGAAACGCATTATGAAATAGCAATTTCATGTAGCAATGAATTAAAACGTGATTCATTTTACAAAAGGTTTTGCTCTGTTTATGAGTCCTATGGTGTTTATGTTTTGAAACATCACACAAAACGCACCATCCGTAAAATACCCGTATTTAACAGCATGATTTTCAATTTCGGCGTGTAGTGTCACAGAATACACAATTCACATGCAATGCACGTGAAAGTTGGGGATCAGATAGTCTCAATGATGGGTATAAAAGTTTGATCGCTGTCTGTCGATTATTCACTGTATTTGGAATATTGTTGATGAACGCAAAATGCCACGTCTAAGTGAAGCCAACCGTCATACCGCCATTGGTTTGCTTGAAGCTGGCCAGTCTCAACGTGCAGTTGCCCGACGCATGAATGTTCACCAAAGCACCATTTCACGGCTCTGGGAGAGATATCGCCGGCAGAATGTGGTAGCAGATGAGTGGTGGGCGACCTCGCGACCACTGCGGCGCGCAGGATCGCTACATCCGGGTACATCACCTGCGTCATCGAACAGCTGCGACCAGTACGCTCGACAAATACCGGATTGAGGAGGCTTTCTGCACAGACCGTCAGGAACAGGTTGAGAGAGGCTGGTTTACGTGCCAGAAGACCTTATTTTGGCCCTGTGCTTCGACAACAACATCGTCGACATCGAGTTCAATGGTGCACCAACGTTCAGGCCTGGAACCTACTGAATTGGCGTAGAATCTGGTTCAGTGATGAATCACGATTTCTATTGGAACGATGTGATGGAAGAATGCGGGTGTACAGACGTCGACGCTTGCTTACCCCAGGGGGACAGATTCGGTTGGGACAGTGTTATGATGTGGGGAGCGATCACCTGCCATAGGAGAAGTGATTTGGTGATGATCCAGGGCAACCTGACAGCTCAACGGTAGTGTGACGAAATCCTACGCCCACACCTCCTTCCAATCATTGATCGCCAGAGGGAGTAGTTTCAACAGGGCAATGCCAGGCCCCACACAGCACGTCACACTAGAGACTTCCTCCAGAACCACAACATCAATGTGCTCCCCTGGCCCTCAAGATCACCGGACTTAAACCCGATCGAACATCTGTGGGATGCCCTGGACAAGACGGGTGCGACGGCGTAACCCTCAGCCCCAGACACTTCAGCAACTTGCACAGGCACTACAGGCAGAGTGGGCAACACGAGAATCTTAGACTTATTCGTTCGATGCCGAGGCGATGCAGTGCAGTTCTGGTTGCCCACGGTGGTCACACGAGGTATTGACTTCAGCGCCACCACACGTCTCCATGTGACACTCAAACTGACTTTCATCGAGTTGGTGCCAAAGACGGATAAGTCTGCATTCCCAGTGTGCAATTTCGCTATATTTCATTGACTCATAAAGCCTACAAGATGTTTCAAAATAAACATAAAAATACAGTTGAAATTCCTATATGCGTTTCTTTTTGGGAGAGTATATTTCATGTAGTAAGTACCAGACAGTCATTTGTCCTTAGTTGATGACTTGAAATCCTATCTAGTCAGCTGAGGATGCTACTTTATCATTTGCCAGCTTCAGTGACATAGATGGAAATCGTGCTAAGCCAAAAACAAACACATCCTAGGAATGACTCACCTGCCTATATTCCAACACTATTGCAGGTAGAGCATGAGTGTCCTTCAGCTGGGTCAGGGTGGCTTCGGAAGTCGACTTCTGATGGGCAACAGTGGTCTTGGCTATCTTACTCTTACCTGGTAACTTCTCATCCAGTCGAAGCTCTTCATACAGAACCTGAATGTATAAGGATATAAATGCATCCATTCCACATAACCTGGTTCGACGTCATTAATACTGAAGATGGCATTACACTGATGGGTCAGAAACAAAAACATACGTTTACAAAATGTGAAAGAAAATGTGGAAGGGCACATAGATTAAAAATTCATGAATTCCTTTCAGACGAGTCCCAAAATTTGCATATTATACATAAGGCAAACAACTGGCCTTGTTATGATTGTTATTCAAAAATTGATAAAAATTTATTATATACTCATGGAAACAAATAAGGGAACACATGAAAGTTCAAGTGTTCCGTTATTTATTTCCAGAATTTCACCCACAGTGCAATACATACCTTGTGAAGAAACCTGGAAAAGAATAAAGGAACACCTGTACTTTCATGTGTTCCCTTATTCGTTTCCATGATTATAGTAATTGTAATGCTTACAAGATATGTAAAAAGGAATGTCATTTGATGCCAATCAGTGTCTGTAATATAATGTGTCTATTGTCAGACAATACGCATGAAAATATATAGTTATTAATTATTTAAAGGTTCTTTCCTCTGAATGTCACAAACATTTATGGCTTGGTCAATGGTGTGTTCCATACAGGACATCAAGTTGTTTGTGTGTATTCCATGTGTTGAGTACCCACCTGTCTGAGCTGGGGATGACTGTTGATACAGAAACTATGCCCTGCTGAAGCAAAGGCTTTTTCTTCCAGCTTTGTAAGCTTTTTCTACGAGCAAAAGTAGAAAACATACTTAGTAACTATTAATAGCTGCAACAAATGTATACAGTTTGACAGGAATAAGTCAGGACTGAGTGAGTTTGGTTTTATGCCGCTTTTAGCAATATTCTAGCAATATATATTTGAGGGGATACCAGGAATGGGTTTCACACATTATGCCCATGTGGGGAATCGAACCCGGGTCTTCGGCGTGACAAGCGAACGCTTTAACCATCAGGCTACCCCACCGCCCCGAATAAGTCAGGAAGGTATAAAGCTCAAGACAAAGCAGTTAAAATAAATATTTCTTTTGATGTCAAATCAACAAACATGACATGAAATTGAAATGCCTTCAGCAAAAATGAGCTGTAACATCTTGCTGATAAATAGCATAATTATTCTTAACCCAAAGGAGGTGTCACATTTGTAGGAGACTTTTAGGCTGACTACCCATATTGGTGAAAGCCATGATAAACATTGCATTCTACCTTTAGTATATTAGAAAAAGCAACAAATGTGGCTGTGTTGACTTTGAATCTCTGCATCTCGAGCTGAGCTAACAAGGGAATCAGGCATGTCTCAATGTTGCAGAATAACCCCCAGAGATCATGTGACCATAGCCGCTCTCTCATCTTGGTCATCATGTCTTGGAGGAGGGATAGATCCGAGTCCAGACTTTTCACACCATCGTGAATCACCTACATTCATACATAACTGTGTTCAAAAGGCAGAAAACTTAAGCATAATGTCATTAAAATACAGACAATATATACAAAACGTTATAAAAATAATAACAAAAATGAGTGAAAAACTATAGATGCCATTTGCTTGCAAAAACAAGGATGTTATCATAGGAGATAAACATCATGTGTTGGCTGGGTGTTATTGAGTATTTGAAGCACAGGACTTCATTTGGAACCAACGGTTTTGGTTAACTTTTGTGCTTACAATTGCCAATTTGGCCTCCCTATTAAATATTAAATTTGTTATTTTCAAAACGGACCTCAGCCGCACGTCTAAAGCCAGGGTCATGAATTGTTTGACCATGCTGCTGCATGGAATCTTAATAGCACATCAAAACTAGCATAAGTCTGGACTGGTACAAGCAGCCACAACATACACTTGCATACACATAGCCATATAAGTGAAAGATTCTTAAACCTCACCTCACCTCACCTCACCTCACCTCACCTCACCTCACCTCTTAGTGTTATGCTTCCATCTATATATCATTACAAACATTCATCAACTGATATGACTACAGAAATGTTACACTGATGGTGTGTCGGACTCCGGACTCCTTGATGACATCTTGTAGACACCGAGGTGGTTTGTCAGAATTCAGCAGCCAGGAGCCAACAACTGGATCCAGAAGTTTCCATGAAGAACAATCTGGGAAAAAACCATTTTGAGCATCCACAACGCTTCTGTTAGTCTAAGCCATAATTATTATGTTTTAAGTTGAAAAAGACATTTCAAATCCTTTTAGAGACTATGCCTATTTGTATCACTAATCACTCACTATATTTTTGATCATTCAAATCTCCTATCCTGTATACTTTTACTTTTAAATATCACTTGTATCTTCTCCATGCAGTCTTGCACATCTGTTAACATGACGAGCATGATGACCAAAAGGATAAGAGTTCATGATGATTAACAAAGTTGTCTCCCTTGATGTGCTATGCCAGTTGTTTGAAATAATTGTCTTCTTTCACAGTAATCTACATTTTTATAGAATGATTAATGAATTATGAGGAAAGTATAACTTTGGATGTCAAAACTAACCAGTGTTTTCAATGAGGGAGGCTGACAGGTAAAAAATTAATTTCAAGCCAGAATTGTTGATATTTCTCAGTTGTACAACAAAGAGGATAATTTGGCCGACTTTCAGAAAACAGCATTTAAAAAGTAAATGTCTTGAATGTGTTGTCAAGAGATTCATGAAGCTGCCAAAAATAGTTAACTTAGTTTGGGAGGAAAAGCTAAGCACTTATATAATTTTCATTCAAGGATTAGAATATGATATGATACTTTTAAAGATGTTTCAAGTACCGGTAAAACATCTTTAAAATGTGTAAATGACGTTTGGTAAGTTTGACAATTTCAAACACTATTGTCGCTTTATAAACATTTTTCTTGAAATTTAGTCTATGGAACTAAATGGTAATATCTGGTTCAAGCTATGTTCATATACTACACATTTGGTTCTTGTTTTCAATTAATCATATATCTCAAATTGTTTCCGATATCAGCACTGCGGTAATTATCAGCACCTTATTGACCAAAGTCTCCTATCTCACTAGAGAAGACTTTTCACACATTGATTTCACTCTTATAATCTATTATACCTTTATTCCAGGTTTCTTCCAGAAGCTTGAGCAGTTCAATGCATACTTGCTTTCCATTCATCACTATTTTCTCAATGCTGTTATTCTCCATTATATCTAAGATAAGGTTTCTGAAAATATGAATGTTTTGTAATTTTAAGTGGATAATCATCAATACTGTATCATATGAACATATAGAAAAATCTCAGTTTATAAATGAGTGAGTGAGTGAGTTTAGGTCTACATTGCACTCAGCAATATTCCAGCTATATGGCAGCGGTCTGTAAATAATCGAGTCTGGACCAGACAATCCAGTGATCAACAGCATGAGCATCAATCTGCGCAACTGGAAACCGATGACATGTGTCAACCAAGCCAGCGAGCCTGACTACCCGATCCCGTTAGTCGCCTCTGACAACAAGCATGGGTTACTGAAGAGTCTAACCCGGACCTTCACGGGTCTCAGTTTATAAAACAAAATAAGAAAGTATAAATAACCCTAATACAAAGGATAATTATGTTGGAACTTAGGCATATTAAACCAGGAAGAGAAATGAAATGTGTAAGATACACTCATCACAATATCTGATAATTTAAGCAGTCAATTGCTCTATTCAATGTACTTGAACCAGTTCATGTAGAATTTATCATCTGCTGTGCAGGAAAACAGAGCCACAGACGATCCTGGATGGGACTTCAAAGTGAATGCCTTCATAGCTACAAACTTCAGCTGAAAATGAACAAGTTTTATACATGTTCTTTTACTCATAGATCAGCTTAATATTTCATTGTCTATTTGATTCATCCCATTAATGATCCTCACATCCGTGATCTTTTCTGCTGCAGTAATTACAGGTATCATAGATTAGATAAGGTGTATCAAATAAAATGTCAGGATCCAGATTTTAACTGAAGTTTCCATGTGTGTTTAAAGAAACTAAACTTATTTGCATGATGACAAATGAATGTTCTTACCTCCACCTTTTGTTGTTCATTTTGTTAAACACTTACTTAGCCACTTACAGTTTCTGCTAATCTAAATGTGATATTGCTGAATGCAGCATAAAGAGCACTTACTTTATCAAACCAAACATTTGCCAAAACAACCAAAGAACTGCCATCATTGTGTAATCATGATTTTAAAATCTTCTTGTCAACTAAGTTGTAAAAGTAAGTCACTACAGGTAGTCATTTTGTTATAATGATTAGGGCTGTAATGAATACACCATGGGGCTAGTATGATATGTTTTATGAATATATAGTAACAGATACAAATATATATTCATGAATACTTTATGTTTAATATCAAGGAATTAAAATGGCAAACGTGTCATTTAATTGCTTAGGTTGAAACTTATCAATAATTTCTGTAGAGCAAAAGAGCAATACATCACAAACAAGGCTGATAATACCTAATGACAGTGCCATAAGGTGCCTTGGTAAAATAGCTCAAGTTACACTACTGCATAACTTGGATATATTGAAATTGTGTATGTCACTTAGATATATAACATACCAGTTCCAAGTAAAATCAGTCTCTTAAAAATATTCGTAAATATTCTAGTGACCATGAATAATGAATTGAATTCATGAAGGAGTACAGTTTGATTCACTGAATACACGCGTGAATTGTAACAGGACTAATTATGGCGCACCCTGGAATACTTTACAGATGTTAGTAATCTCAGTTTGTATGGATGCTTAACTACTGAAAAGTTTGGTTCAGATTTCATGTTTGGCATGTATGACCTTTAGTTTGAATCTGACCATCTTGCATTATTTCACAAAACCTTCACCTTTAGTCCTGCTGGCTGGAAGCACCTCACGCTGGTAGTATTGTCTGAATACACAAGACTAATGCATACAAACTGACTGCTGCAGATGTCTTGCCTCATTCTGTTCCTTGACTCTTCTGACAAGTGTTGCATCTCTATGACACTTGCATCCCCAACTGTTGTGTAGTCTTCATGTAACTGGAAATAAGATGAACTCAAAGATTCAAAATGAAAACAAAGAATGTCATCACATAAAATGTATTGGTTCGTTTGTTATGAAACTTATGAATATAAATACAGAGTTGATACGTCATTCATGCAAAAACATTTTATCTATTAACCAAGATAAAGACTGACCATGACAAAAAAGAAATAATTTGAATGGATCAGCCAAGTTCATGTTTAACATAGGAATACTCCATTGCTGAATGGGAAAATAGTTCAGATGAATATTACAATAGAATAGAATGTGTTATTTGTTATAACTGGTACCAGTATGTGTGCCATGTAACATGGGGCAAACAAATAGAGATCAGTTAGTACTTGGGTCTCTTTGGGTTTTTTTTTAATGGTATTTCCTGATACCAGCTGCAGACAATTTGTGTAAACTGACTTTTAACAGCAAAGTTTCTCAAATCAGTAGGCCATATTGCAAGAGCAATGATAATAATGATCTGACAATAGATTACGGTTTCTTTGCAGCTGTTTCCAGCTTGTCACATGTATTTTGGAAAGGCCTAATGCACCACAATAGAGCAAAATGACCCCAATACTCATCCTTACTGAGAGTAGGGAAAATCTACTAAATATGATGAACTTGATGAAGCCAATTAACTTTTTGTAAATGGTACTGGGCATGTTCTTATCCTTGTGAGTCATTTTATCATTAGGCTTTTATAAACACAAACACTTTTGCCTTTATAGAGAGAATTAATAACTCAATATACAAATATATTGACCAATTACTACCTGATTAGTTTGCTTTCCACAGATTTTAGACTTCTTTGCTTTGCAAAAATCTGGAATCCTGGGAATCTTGTCAGTGTTATCGCTTTCTCCTGCATATCATAAGGGAGCTTTTCATCACATGAAATGCCTCTTGCTTCATGAATGTTGATTGCACAATGATGAGTAAAACAAAAAAAACCTGTGTACTCAGTTCATGCACTGCCAAAGCCTTTTCCTAACAGTGAGCAAGTGATTGAGTGAGTTGGGTTTTATGCCACTTTTAGCAATATTCCAGCAATATCATGGAGTGGGACACCAGAAATGGGCTTCACACAATGTACCCATGTGGGGAATTGAACCCGGATTTTCCGAGTGACATGAACGCTTAACCACTTGGCTACTCCACCATCCCCCTTTACCTAACAAATCTATTATTGTTGAATTAATTTTAAAGAAGGAGATCATATTGAAATCAGTGGGTTAGTGTTATTTAATATTTATGATTATGCAATATTTAATTAAACTTTGGCATACAAGGGTTGTAAAACAGATCATGTAATCTACTGGTCATACCTGGCAAGGTTGTTGATACTTTCACCTTTCTCTCTGCTTCCCTGCAATAATATGTTTGGAATATATAAACTTAATCTCAAAGAAATTATGTTGCAACTTGTGTTCATATAGTACTAAATGTGCAGTTTAGTATTGTATGACAGCCAGTTCAGATAACCTTGAGCTATCCTTATGTTTAGGATGAGTTCAACCAAAATGTTTAGTTTCTACCTTTTCAAATTCGATAAATATTCTATGCAAGGTTATTTGTTAACACAGTCTTCTGATGTAGTGCTTAAGGTTTAAACAATTAAATACAGAAATAAAGTTTGTGAAATATTCTACCCAAAGGCATAATAAATACTGCAAGGGGTAACATATGAAACATCAATAGAACTTTAGAAGTCAGTACCTCATCTGCTTGTTTATTTCCAGCTTCCTAGCAACAGAACAGGGTTGCTGCTGAAAATAGCTGTCAATGTGACTCTGACATCCTTTTTTCTGCAAACCTGGAGCACTTTGTTTGTCATCTGAAATAACTACTACTGTATTCATGTTTCTATCTTCCATCTTATCTGTCTGCTCAGCTGAAACAGGTGCCCCAAGTGTCTTACTTTGGATTGTGTTTCCATGAATAAGAAAGGTATTTTTCTTATTCTGCTCTCTAGAATAGATGCTGGGATTTAAAACATCTCTCTGTAGGCACTGATTCTTGCTGCTTGTGGTCAACCAGATAACATGGAACATCTAGATTCATATTTGAGTCGTGTTCTTCATGGACAATGCTTAGCTCATGTTTCTTCTGAATATGCATCCTCTGCATATCAAGCTCTTGGTTTTGATCAAAGGTTATCTCTTCACTGCTGATTTGCAATGGTTCTACCTGGGATGTGAAAAGATCTTGAGATGCTAAATACAGATCTTCATCATCAATTGTCATGGTGGAGCCGTTAGCTTCTGGAGGCAAGGGAGGAACCAGGGTCAACTCACATTGTTCCAGGAAGCCCAGGTTGAAAAGAGGTCTCTGGTATAGCATCAACCACTGATTGTGGTTTATTGGAACATTCTGAACTGGAACTTCTATGCTGATTTTCCATGACAGTTTCTGAAAGTTTTTGATTCCCAGTTATCTCCTTCATGTTTAAATCATATGCCCTCAGTTTCTTTGGGCTGTGAAAGTCCTCAAATAATGATGCTTTAGGTCTTTTCCTTTTTTCAAGTTTTGCCCTTTCTCTGTCATTGGCTGCTAATAGACTAATAGCATCAAGGTCATATTTGTTAGTAGCGCTTTCATTTTCTGTTGAAGTCTCCTCATAAAATGTATCCTGTTTAATGGTAGGGCCATTTTTGCCTGCATTTGACTGCATGAAATTTATTTTACTTTTCTGTGCTAATTCAAAAGGTCTCTTAAAAATATGGTCATTGACAAATGGTGAATCTGGAGGTTCTGTTTTGATGTGAATAGGGTCATTTATGCTCAGCTGTGATCCAGTTCTTTGAGAAATAACATAATTGTTGTTATTTCTCAGATTCTGAAGTGGATAGTTGTTGGTGTTGGTGGTAGATCGACAAGAAGGAGGTTCAGCCTTGAACTGATTGGAATAAAGTGATCTGTAGTATTCATTTGGATCTGAAAGGAAGAACAGGTCACTTGGCACCAAAGGCCATGAACAACATTGGTACCTTTACCATGGACACAACTAAGCCAGTAGCAGTCAAATAATTACTTATATTCATAGACAAGACAGTTATAGGGAGCAACAATCCTCAGTTTTGTAATTTCTTGTTTCTAACTCTGTAGGCTCAGGGCACTGATTGATACTGTTCAATGCTGTTCTATTCATGATAGAGCATTGTTTGCAGAAAATGCTCGATCTTCTATAAAAAAATATATTGTATGTTCAAATAATTCTTATAGTTTTGTTTTTGAAGCACTGACTGGAAATATCACTGTTTATAAAATATAAATCTCAAGCCTCACAAAGAATAACATAGGACAGTCCCCACCTTGAGACAGACGCTCCTTCTTCATTTGTGCCAGCAGGTATTGGTCTCGCATCTTGGTGTACTTCCTCTGTAGTGACAACATGACTCGCTGAGCATCAGGGGAAAGGGTGGCGTACCACTGGAGGGGAAGTAACTCCTCACTACAAGATATATTCATCCTGAAACAAAATATTTAGACCTGATACTGATTAACTGTTACAATGAAGATTTGTGATTGCATGAAACCATTTCAATCTATGAGTAAGGGCTATAAGAGAAATCTGTTAAGATCTGAATATATTTACATACAAGCAGATAACAAATTACACTATACAGATAATGAATGAAATTTTAAAAAGGAGGCTTATCAAGAGTTTCTTGGAGGGTAAAATAAAATGCCTCAAGTAGCAAATACCAGTTTAAATTTGTCTATGGGTATAAAAAAACAACAACCTCCAATGGTAGTTATAGCTAAAGTGATTGTGACTTGAATTTCACTGATAACAGGGCTGGTAACGGATTATCTATATGTTATTGGATTGGTTGTAACGATAAAATACCTGAAATTACAAAGAAATAAGAACTTTTAAAAAGTTCGGTCTTGTGTATCATAGACCGGAATTGGCACTTCTCCAATAGTCCAAGCTGCGAATAGTTAAGGTATCACAAGTGCTAATAGTAATAGAAAATTCCCTTTTTTATTGTCTTCGCTACATGTTATGGAGGCCCATGTTATTATTTATGGTGACTATTTCAAAGTATTTGACCGCCTTGATATCATGACTTATATCATAACATTCGGCATTAGGTGGGAAGTATGGTGGAATTTTAATTCATACAGAGACGTATATCATGTAGTAATCAATTCACTCACGAAAATAAGTGTCAAATGTCTTCTATGTGTAAATGAAGCAGACGACGTTTACAAATCTCCACTTCCGGTTCCAATCGGTATTTCTCGTGAAAGTTCGGAAATCACTCTGAATTCGTGACCAACTCGTATTATTCAGGGACAAGCCGAAAATTAGCGAATGATCACTTATGTATATTTACATCACACACTATTTCGCCGATTACGTTTTGTTATTTGATTTAAAAAAGCAATTAATGGATCTAATTCTGTAGTCCTAAACTCCATACAGCCTACGGCTCCAATGAACAGATGTTGTTTGTTTGTTTTATAAATTACGAGAGCCCTATGACATTCTTTGTTGGGACACATACTCATTCATGACACATTGTGAATTTTCCTCCTATTGCTTGTGAGTAAAAATGGGCTTACAAGTACCTATCCTTGCAAAGAACTTATACTGCGCCATTATGCCGTATGCTTTCTCAGTACAGATTCTAGTGCTTTGTTGGATGGAGCCCCATCCGATTCGAACCAAAATTCGCCGAGTCAGGAACGTAATCGCCAGAAAACAAAGTCAGCGATCTAATCTACTCAGCCACCGCGTCTTCCACAAAAATGGAAGTCTTGCAACTGGTAGTCTGGATCACTAAGTTAACTTGGTGTGTCCCTCTGACAAGCCTACTTACTTACTTTGTGTGTCCCTCTGACAAGCCTAAATAGGCACGGCTCCCATCGCCAAAGGCTATGAATACACAATGCGTATTTGAAAGTGGACTTTCTCAGTAAAGCATAGATACTGTCATCCTTTTTGGTTAACTCACATTTTGGATTCGAACACATACTTTCAGATTCAGACACCTAATCACCAGCACTCAAAGTCATCTAACCCAGTCATCCACTGTTTAAAATGCACTGTGCATTTATAAGCTAGTTATACATCCACGGGTTGCAAGATGTGAGAGCAACAGGTTGACACAGGATGGATCCAGCATCCATGCACGTGCATCTAACCTGCACGTGTGCAGGTGTGCTGCCTGTCAGTTCTGTCTCTGTCCATGTAATGATCAGATACATAACCAACCTAAAAATTTAAATCGATAACGGAAAAATGAGGGCGGGCCGAAAAGAATTGTTATGTTTTCGCATCTAATTTTTTCCATTCTGTAATGCGAAACTTACACGTTAACTGGTCGGAAAAACGTGAAATGTCAACTGCGTAATCTGAAACGTGCTCAAGAAGGCTGAAAGGATGAAGAAAGAGAAAACTGCCCACTCAAAGCATCGTTCGAGGTACATGAATTATTACATTATAATTCCAATGTTACAATAACAATCTCCTTTGCTCTTTATCGCTGAGTTCATATTTCAACATCAGACAGATGTGGTATTTCTGGGGCCTCAGTTCAAACTCTACACATCTTTGATTTAAACAAACATATTTTAAAATCGTTATTTGTGGAAAAGCCCTAACGCGTTGACATTTAAAACAGGACCGAGTGACACGCTAGAAGCTATATCGTTTGCCGGTTTGGTTGTTGAACGTTCCGGTGAACCAATTATTGCCATGAACGAGTAGAGTGCTTCCCGTGGTTTATCACAAATGGATTGGCACCAAATGTTTATGAGATAAAACTGTTTTCCCTGTAATGACCAGCATATGGATTGAGAAATCTCAATTGTGTTCCGAAACTTGACGGTTCTGCCCTTCCTATTCACCCGAAATGAGTTTGTGACCGAGCATTGTAAAACATTCAGTTAAACCACAAAAAAGAGCAGCGGACGAAGGAGATTTTATGACGCTTCTTTTCTTGACTGGCGAGGATACCCAAGGGAAGTAACTCTTCCGACCCTAATCGCCGATCTCACTGTATGATTGCTTCTTTTAACCTCACACCATCACATTTGAAAAATATGGATTAATTACCAAAATAGTTAATCCAGTCTTATCAAACGTAATTGGGAACTTCAAATGATGAGAGGTTTTTAGGGCTTTGTGTTTTCCTAATCTGTGTGAAAAGTTGGGATATCTATTACTGCGTTAGGCTTGGTGAAATGGGATTAAAAGTCACGTTAAGGATGTTTGCCTAATCAAGGTGAGTGAATGTGTTTTTAATCGTTTTTAGAAATATCCCAACAACATAAACACTCGGAACACAGGGTTTCAAAAACCCTTATATGGGGAATCGAACCCTATCATTCAGGGTGAAGGGTGAACGCTTCAACAACTAGTACATTCACCTACCCTGTTCTCCAATAGAAGTCAAAAATCGAAAATCAAACGTCCATTTATCAGTTTCCCACCTGTACTTTTGAAGATATTCAAACCCAGCTCACGTGATCGACAGGCAAACATACACTTTTTATATGTTTCTTTTAATATGTTTCAGAGTGGAAGTACAGATGAGAAGGTTTGCTAGCTAACTATACTCATTATGTACACGGGGGGGTGGGGTAGCCTAGTGGTTAAGGCGTTCGCTCGTCACGCCGAAGACCCGGGTACGAATCCCCACATGGGTACTATGAGTGAAGCCCATTTCTGGTGTCCCCCGCCGTGATATTGCTGGAATATTGCTACAAGCGGCGTAAAACGAAACGCAGCCAGTCAGACATGCTTTACGGCGCTGTGCGGGGGCTTTGTACACAACCCAGTCTTGCCACCTATTTCAACTATAGCAAGGCTCAACCGTAGTACTGGAGTCACATGTGCTGTTCTTTAGTTCTCTACCAGACAGCAGGTTGTTACAGCAGGGTTTCTTTAAGATGGTAAAGGTAAGGTGAAGTGAAATGGGGTTTAATGTCGTACTTGAGAATATTTCGCTCATACGACGTGCATGCGTGTGTATGTGTGGTTGCTTTTAGGCCCCAGTTAAGCATGAATACCCAACTCAGTCACATTATACTGACTCCGAACGGATCAGTCCCTGTTGTACCCATTAATGCCGAGCGCCAACAAGTACCATATTTTAACGTCTTTTGGTATGACGCAGCCGGGGATCGAACCCGCGACCTTCTGCTGTCCGTGCGGACGCTCTAACCACTACACCACGGATGTGATGGAAAAGAGACTTCTTAGCTCTACGTAGAGATCGTACCCTACGCACTGCGTAACTCCTATTTTAGGAAGAGTGAGGGAAATTGCTTTACCCCGCAGCAATGTTGCATCTATTCGCGCGAACTCATTTAGGAATCGTATCGCGCTAAGTCTGCTAGATAAGTCCTACGTATTTTTACGATCTTGCAATGTTTTCAAGATCCCCCAAGACATTTGAGAACTGCTTTATGATTGTTTTTAATGATGGTTGTGAGAATGAAACAAACTAATTAGGTGTACACACACATAACCATTATAGAAATGGAAATAAGCATATCGACTCCGATTCTCCGGCTACCGCAACGTCTGCTCTTCATCTCCCGACACGTGGACGTCGTCAACGGCACATGGAAGCGTGCACATCTGCCCTCCCCATTATCCAAGATGGCTGTTTACCTTCGGACCCCGATAACTTCATAACGTGTGAAAACAATCGGCATTTCTGCCGTAAGCTGAACAAACTGCTACACGGCCGTGGCGTAATGCGGCACATATGTACATAACCTTGAATGGTTTAATAAGCAAGAATTGAAACAGGTTTATTTTTTCAGTCGAACTTTAGCTGTGTCTTATTAAAATGAGTTACACTCGACGTTAACAAACTTCCGACATGTCGTAAACCAGATTTTACATGCCGTAAAGTTTACAAATCAAGGAAATGTATAATATGTGTGTGATTTCTGTAAGTAATAGCCTCTGAACACTTGGGGATCACTTTGGGTTGTTCTGTTTAGCTGTTATAACAACGAGGTATGTTGCACCTAAATGGGAGTTACCGCGGCAGGTGAAATCAATTTGAATTTTAAATCGAAAACAATGTTACGTTATAAGACATTTGCTTTTTTTTCCTGCACGTGTGTGCATAAATGTGCACGCATCTTTATATGCATGTATGTATGCACGTTTGTCTTTTCGCTTTAGTTATGTGTGTATTATTACAAAGCTTGGCTTCAGCCTTGTTATACTCAGATATACTTCAGTCTATAAGCCTGCTTGTCTGTGTCTGTCACGGCCCCTTTCAGTGTGAATGCTTGCCTGCGATTCTCTGACACTTCTGTGATACTATATGCTTACTTTGGTGTGTGTCAGTAAACTTGTTTCTAGGTTTTGTATGCTTGCTTCTGTGAGTCTATATGCTTGCATTTGTAAGTCTGCTTGCTTCTGTGTGTTTATATGCTTTGTGAGTCTGTATGCTTGCTTCTGTGTGTTTATATGCTTGTGTGAGTTTATATGCTCTGTGTGAGTCTTGTGTGTCTTGCTTTGCTTCTGTGTGTTTATATGCTTGCTTGTGTGAGTCTGTATGCTTGCTTCTGTGTGTTTATATGCTTGTGTGAGTCTGTATGCTTGCTTCTGTGTGTTTATATGCTTGTGTGAGTCTGTATACTTGCTTCTGTGTGTTTATATGCTTGTGTGAGTCTGCTTCTGTGTGTTTATATGCTTGTGTGAGTCTGTATGCTTGCTTCTGTGTGTTTATATGCTTGTGTGAGTCTGTATGCTTGCTTCTGTGTGTTTATATGCTTGTGTGAGTCTGTATGCTTGCTTCTGTGTGTTTATATGCTTGTGTGATGCTTGTGTGAGTCTGTATGCTTGCTTCTGTGTGTTTATATGCTTGTGTGAGTCTGTATGCTTGCTTCTGTGTGTTTATATGCTTGTGTGGTGTGTCTGTATGTCATTTGTAAGTATGCTTTCTTCTGTGTGTTTATACTGGTGTACTGCTTCTGTGTGTTTATATGCTTGTGTGAGTCTGTATGCTTGCTTCTGTGTGTTTATATGCTTGTGTGAGTCTGTATGCTTGCTTCTGTGTGTTTATATGCTTGTGTGAGTCTGTATGCTTGCTTCTGTGTGTTTATATGCTTGTGTGAGTCTGTATGCTTGCTTCTGTGTGTTTATATGCTTGTGTGAGTCTGTATGCTTGCTTCTGTGTGTTTATATGCTTGTGTAGAGTCAGTATACTTACTTCTGTGTGTTTATATGCTAGTGTGAGTCTGTATGCTTGC